CGCAGGCACTGACCTTTCCGCAGAGGTAAGGGTAGAGCTTGCGGGCGATCTCAGCTGGTATCTCTTTGGAATAGATGGAAGTACAATTGCTGGCAGACTGACTGGATCTCGACTGAGCAGCAGAAATAGCGATTGGTTGACGGAAAGGGGGGAGGGAAAGGCGAGTATGAATACACCCCCTGAGTGTAGCTCTAGCGATGATCCACCCTACGGTCTCTTACTCATAGGAGTACATAGTTCTTAGTTATTTAGAGAAACTGATATTTGGCCCCCTATTTGAGCTTGGTGTGGGATCGCCACTTCAAACAGTTATTTGTTTCCCAACATACCCGATCTGGCCACCACTGTCCCTCGAAGCCCTCCGAAGATGCCGACACGACGCCAATGCACTTGCTGGTATGCCCCAATCCTGGCTCGGCAGTATCTATGTAGCAGACACTAGAATCATCATATCTTGTGTGCCGAAATGGTATGTCTGGGAGTATGAAACATGGTAGTAGGTTTGGCCCCTTCTGTTTCTTTGTCACTCTTTCTTCCAAATCTTACTTGATATAGACCCAAAACACTACTATTACAATTCATTTCCAGTCGTATTAAGGCAGCATGCATTGGCCTAAATGGTGACATAGTCTCCCATTCCATAACTCAGTTGGTTGGAGTATGATGCTAATAACCTCAAATCCGAGGGGGGCTTTTCCCCTCTTTTACTTTTCATCAATTAATTTGCTAGTCTCCTGGAGAATACGGTTTAGTCAAAAGAGATGCAGGTCGACATTTTATGATTTTAATAAGATGTTGGGGGACCAAAAAATGAATCCTTGGTTGGTTGGGTGAGGGAAGAAAAAAAGAAATCGTGGTTCCAGAGGGGGTCGAACCCTCGACTTTGACGTTATTAGCATCACACTCTAACCAACTGAGTTATGGAACCCGGTTTTTATTTCGTCAAGAACTTTTGCTATATAAACAAAAAACAAAATTGCCAAAAAGCCAGGCCAGACCACTAGTGATGATTAACTGAATATATGTTCAAAATGATGGTAAATTTTACAACCTGCGCTTTATTGTAACCCGATCTCCTTCTCTCTCTCCTTTTCTCATCGGTCCAATAAACCATTGCTGCTGATCTTCATAATCGCTATCTACTACTTCCCCCGCACGCAACAACTTCACTTCTCTTTTTCTTCCCAACCCCGCCCCTAACTCACACACGAAGCAAACATGGCTGCACCTAACCTGGAAAAGCTAGGTCATGCATTCTGTCGCCCCTTTTTTCTCGTTGGCTCGCCGACTTCTATGGCACTGCCACTGCAATCATCCCATTCCCATAAGTCGGAAACTATAAGACAAAACACTGCATTCAAATCTCTGTTGCACAGTGTGCAAGGCTAACAGCAGCTCCACTCTTTGATCGGGTAATTTTGAGAATGCCCAGTGAAGTGAAGGGTAGACCAAGGGGGTCCAGTAATTTGGGTCTCAGCCTCCACAGTTGTCGGTCTGACCGAGTTACATCTTCCAGTTCGAATTCCAGCTCCTAATGGAGGTTGGTAGACTGCTGGATGTCGTTGAAAACCGCGAGTATCTAATGCTCTTCGGAATGTATCACCGCAGCATGGTAATTCGAGAATTTGAACAATTGTTTCATAAGGGGTCTCTCGGTGTTCAGATGATGCTTGGATCCATGTAATTGCTCGATTGACGTGAGCATCACTAAGAATTGAACGTCTTCCGCTGCGTTTTGATGGGGTCACAGTGCCTTGTTGAATTGTGTACTGTACTTGACGGTAAGAACATTGCATTTGGTTGGCAATATCCTTGATTGAATGACGTTGGCCTTCATGGAGCGTGAGGATACTGTTGCGTTGATCGCGGGTCAGCTGCCGCTTTGGAGGTGTACGGGGTGCTTCGGGTGTGGTAGGCATAGTTGAATTAGGGGTCAAAATGGATGAATTGATGGATGAGTATAGAAAGGGATGACCTTCAGGGGGTATTTAATGTATTGTACAAACTTGATAAATTGCTACGTCATGGGTTGAATACAATAGGCGATAGGAACCATTCCTAGACCCACAGTGACAATATTTCTCTTTCACCCCTGTAGCCGCAGGTGCCGCATTCTTTCAAAACGCAGACAAGGGCAGGCGCTTTGAGATTGGTCATCGTTAATAAAGACCTCGGGATACATAGTTAAGCATTGTTGGCACTAAGAGATACACTCCATAAGCCATACAAGTTTGCCAGCATACGACCGTGCAAAGTACGCAATCCTGTTTCGTTTATTTTCCAGATAATGGGAGATCCAGGAATGTTAAGTTCAATCACCAATTTCCAATTCAGTGCAACAGCCAATCTTATAGCAGATAGGATTCAGATCCCATGGTTACTTAAATACAGCAGGTAAAGACACCCGGGTAGACATAGTAGGGAATGACGATGCCCCTTGCTACATTGTACATTCAAGGTGGCAGGTAGTTGATAGAGCCACGAGTTACCAAAGAAAATGAAACTTTGTATTGCAAGGGACGTAGCTAGATGCGAGAGCAATAAGAGAGGAGAACCTCGGATGAAAGCAAATGGCTAAATCCGTGAGGAGCTATAGACTGGAACTAATGGTTCATTTTTGTTGCTCCTTTATGTACCTCCAACATCCGACCTTAGCAACAGATTTCTAGATGCCGGGTGCTGACACATGATGTTTTTCTACTACTTAGCTCTTGCTGCTCAGCTAGAAACAGCACGTACCTATAACGTACTTTGATAAGTTGGGGTTGAAAGGATGTTGGGAATGATAATTCTAGCACTGATTTTAGTTATACGATTGCTCTGCGGCGAATAGATTCTGGGCTGAGATGGATTGGAGGAACAATGACATTGTTCCGCAAAGCGCATACTTTTTCTCCTTAATTTGTCTTTTGAGATATATTACACTAAATTTTCGGGTGTGTTATAGAGAGGTTCCATAACTCAGTTGGTTAGAGTGTGATGCTAATAACGTCAAAGTCGAGGGTTCGACCCCCTCTGGAACCACGATTTCTTTTTTTTCCCTGCCTGTAATTTAGAATTCACGTTTTATTGGTGAATCCTCTGAATGAATGATTGACCTGAATCAACAAAAGCGGCTATAACTTTAGAAGGAGACAATTGCCCAGATGGGAGATTTTTCCAAGACTTTCCAAGAGAACAACCTTGAAAGGGAGAGGCGAGGTAGTGTCTAGAGGAAGGAGATTTCGGTGCCAGATATCATGACTGTATAAAAGGAAATCTGGTCTAGGAAATATATATATTTCCCAATCCTAGATTTTAAAGGGTTGGGTTAAACCACTCTCGCAGTATTTCATTCTGCCAGCCCTACGCCCATAAATATACCTCGAGACACATCATGATGGACCACCGTAGAAGATTTACAAGTAACAACTTGATAACTTCAGAAGTGGCATCCACGTTGACTTCAGGAGGGGTTAGATAATGCGCTGATTTGACATGTGAACATTGGAACACTGATCAAACCCTTGAAGGTCACAGTGTATCAGATCCCCAATCCTGATCTGATACTGCCAGTGCGCTTGAAAATATCCTCTCGAGATCTCTTTACTACTTAAGTACTCCAACAGGACTCATTCTAAGTTTGGGCGAAGCCGTGTGTCATGGCATGGCATGGGCCTGTGGCATATATTTGTTAGCCCTATCCTATGCACTTAGCCATCCAGTGCATGGTCCACGGGTCCTCACCCCCCTCAGCGATCAATCTATCTATCCATTGAACCCTACAAGTGATCACTCTGGTTGCATATACACCCTGTAGCACCTGGAAGCATCCAGGTCCTAACTTTAGAACAATATTACTATAAGGTTTCCTACATATTTGACAGAAGCTCTGGATCTAACCAGAGGCTGCTTAAATAGCTAAACTGACTCACCCCGTAGTGTAAAAACGAACAAAGCATGGAGAATGACATGACTAGATTACAACTGCCATGGCACTAATTCCATATGACAAGATTTTCGGCTGCCACCTCCAACAAGGTTCCATAACTCAGTTGGTTAGAGTGTGATGCTAATAACGTCAAAGTCGAGGGTTCGACCCCCTCTGGAACCACGCTTCTTTTTGTTCTGTGGTCACTTTCTGATTCCGCTATGCCACTGGCGATACTTTTTTTGGACCATTGTCCAGGACATATGGAAGGGTGGGAGGAACAGCGTCGAACTGTGGATATGTACAGAGCACCGTGGGGTGCTTGCTCCCTATTTGTGGACCGGCAATTATTGAAGATATGGATTATACCATTGTCATCGCTGTCGGGTTGGTGCAGCAGACTGCCTTTTAGTGGTTCGTCTGCAAAGTACCACAGTTCAGCTAAGATCTTGAGGCAACTGTTGTATACGAGTATTCGGAATTGAATTTAGCCTTGATAAGCATAAACAGATGAAAGTCTTGACTCTGCCAGGTGAAGGGGAAATTAATACTTAAGTACGAAACGATGAGACTAAGGAAACCACAAAAAGGTGAACACCATAGGTTGTGTCTACTGGACACCATCCAAACTTCGAGCATAAAGAATTGTTCCTCTTCCAATGAACATCAAAAAACATAGGAAAATTGGCGTTCTCAAGAAGTTTTAGTAATCAATAAAACCCCTTCCCCCAAAAATACAACAACCATCACTCAGAGATTCATTCGGCCATGAGCAGATGAGAATAAGGTTTGACAGGGAAAGTTTTTGAAAGCAAAAAAAGGAAAAAACATACAACAGTGAGGATTCGCTGGTGGTCACCCACCCAACTACTAACTCACCGGCGTGTGGCTTAAGTACGGCTGAGCGGACGGGAAGCCCTGTTCTCCACACCCTGTGGTCGTATGTACTGGATTTATCACTGGAAAGGAATATGTAGAGCACAGGGTCCAAAAATTATGAAATTCTCCAAAATTGGAACCTGACCGACAAATGAGCGAGTCGTCAGGTTTGGATTACCGGGTTTCCAAGGAATTCGACACCCGCTTCTTATCAGGCCCCTTCAAGAACATGCTCCGATTCGAGCTGTCTATCCATAGTTGCACTCTCCAGAAACAGCGAACTTACTCCTCCTACCACCGCCAGTCCAATTAAAACTTTGACAACGTCTTGGAAACTCTGTGCATAGGCAAGATGAAGACTCTGGCGTAAATCTGGAGGGGCGGTAATCTTTTTCAGCGTCTCTATCAGCACCTCGGCATTTGTTGAGACTCCATATGGAAGGTCCAGGTCACGAATGTGATAGTTGAAGCGATTTTGGAACACAGTGCCACCAATAGGGACTCCAATGCACATTCCGAATGTGCGCATGAAAGTGTACAGCCCGGCTGCATAACTGACGTCGGGGGTGTCCGCGAACGATTGGACGCAAATGCTGAGAGCAGTGAAGTTGAGACCGTGGCCAAGTCCAACTGCGGCAAAGATCAGAACCCAACCATAGGTTTTGATATCAGGATCGAGGAGCAAGAGCAGGGACGTAGCTATGATTGTTGTTCCCCATCCAGACCAGATGGCCCAGCGGAAACGACCATATTTTGATATCAAAGCACCACACACCGCACTAGTTGGTAAAACAACGGCCGATATGGGGATTAAACCAACTCCAGCCAGAGTTGGGGAGAGATCTTTGACGGATTCAAGATAGATCGGTATATAATACAGTTCACAAAAGAGCTAACAAGAAATGTGTTAGTTGTTGAAGTTTGTAAAAGGGCAGATTCTAACCATTAAGCCTTGAATGAAAATGCAGGTATATGCCACAATGGTAGATCGTTTTTTGAAAAGTTGAACACGGAGGAAGGGGCGCGAGGCAATGGAGTTCTCCCAATAAATGGATCCACCCAGACCGACTATACCAAGAACGATTGGGACCAATGTGTGCCAACTGCTCCACGGGAATTGGGTGCCACCCCAGCTGAGCCCGATCAAGAAGCTACAGGCACTTGTGATAAACAGAGTAGCACCAGCCCAGTCAATCTGCACAAGCTTGGCCTTCAGTGGCATTGGTTTTGATTTCAGTTTCACTGCGACGAGCACCAATGCCAGCCCCATCCCGCAGAACGGAAAGTTAATGTAAAATGCCCATTGCCAAATACTGTATTGCACGAAAAGACCACCTATCAACGGTCCCACAATAGTACCGAGGGCTCCAGCAAGACTTAGCATCGCGAAGTATAATGGTCGTTGACGGAGGGGAATGATATCGGCTAAAATTACATAGCAGACTGACATCGATCCTGCTCCGCCAATTCCTTGGACCACACGACCCGTGAGCAGCTGAGGAAAGCCTGTAGCAAGGCAGCATACCAAAGTACCTACCGTAAATAGTGACAAGGAGAGGAATAAAAGTGGACGACGCCCAAACAAGTCAGATAATGAAGTTATAAATGGCTGAAAGACTGCACAGGGAACAAGATAGGCGGTCCCAGTCCAGAAAGTCTCCACGGGTGTTCCGCCTAAAGATTCCGAAAGTCGCTTTTCAAAGTTAGCCCGGATGCCTCCGTTCTTGAATCGAGTTACAATTACCGGCAGAAGAGGGACCAAGATCGTGGCATCGAGCGCAACAACGACCGCAATGACACAACAACAGACAATGACTAGCCATTCCCTCCATTTCGGTTTCCACGAATTGGCTTTGGTAGCTTCAGTCAAATCCTCTTCGTCCTTGTCCGGAGAGGGCGATTGAGTAAGCGCGGTCGTTGATTTCAACAGTTCGTCTTGTGACATTGGGCCTGAATTTTGAATAATTCCTTGAGGGCCAAATTTTGAAAGCGGACGGAAGAATCAGATGAGGAGCTATTGTGTCAAGATCTAGACTGTAAGGAATAACATTTCGAATGTTTCAAGCGCTTGGGGCGACCACTCGCTCAGGTCATCACACGGAAATATTTTGATTCCGTTTAAACACTGCTTTCTCATTGCTTGTTATATTATGATGTACTTCGGAGATGTACTCGTATGCAGGGGATAGATCAGACGCGCAGAATACAAGTTCTCTGAAATTTAAACGGGGCACAGAGAAAATATCGGATGCAGGGGGCAAACCGAGTATTGAATCGTACCTGAGTTCTGTCGATCAGTCCTCACTGACAAGCTTTGACAGAACTAGAAAAGTAATCTTACTTCAGTAAGGAGCAAGTAAGTGATCTGGCTTCTGATCTACAATAAACTAGTCTCGTAATACAGATTATACTCGTATTCCCACACTCAGTTCAGCCAGCACCACCACTATTGAAGAACGGGCATATGGTTATTTGCAGATCGCACCCTTGAGCACAGAGAAAGCAGTGGGAGTTGTGATGAAATTGCAAAGTTTCACGAAGAGAGAAGGCAAACTTGGAAGTTTGTGGAAGGAGAGTGTGTGCCAAAAGCGCGAGAGGATATGAGGATATGCCATTTACCTGGAGCAGATACGAAAGATGATGCTCTCAGTAAAATCAAGATAAAGTAAAAATGGATCCTTGATAACTTTCAGGCACGCTGAAACACCCTGCACCAGCAGCATATGGGGCAGATCATATAAACAAAGAAGGAACCCGCTCTCCAGCCTGAATGATTACACGACCTATGGGATAGTAATACATCGGCATTGTAGTAAACAGCCAGGAAATAACCCAGATGTATCCGATCATCCTCTTCCACCACGCATATTTTGTACCCATCACCTTCGATGCGACATGAACTATCAGATCCTCTATCATTATTCCCACGGCATTGATGGCAAAAAATGGTATGCTGCCACCCTGGTGAACTGGAATGGCTCGAGAAAGGTCCATAAAGATGTGGATGATAGCAGATATCGCGAATGTCAATATCAAGCAGCAGTAGCGATGCCAAATTGTGCCGGGAGGGATCTGTAGGACCGATCGGCTTATAAATTCCGCATTCGAGGTCAAGAATTTCCGAAAGGTCTGATGCCAGGTGAAGCTATGATTAACTGGTTAACCAGCGCCCGGGGCACTATAGTGCAGGGAGAAGAACTTACCCCCAGAATCTTCGGAGCGACCATGCCTCTGCCGGAGAAGCCCCGCCCAGTGGCCATGAGGCAGGCTCGTGCATGCCTAAGCCTACCGAGAGAATGGCGCAAACACTGTACAATAGTTGATGGCTGGCCCGTAGGCTAACCCAGTATGATCCGACGAGAGATAAATGGGATAGGGCCTCTTTAGCCGAAATATTCTTTCCTCGATACAAAGCTCTTTGCTTCTCTGTTGAAAACATTTCATGGAGAGACTCGTCATTTTCACCGCCGTAAAGAAGTCCAAGTGTCAAGAGCGCAAGACATAGAACCACGAAGCGGTACCGAAGAAATTCCAATCGAGATGGGATATATTGGCTGTTTGCTCTGTAAAAGGGAGGGATGTTCTTGATTTGCCACGGTGTGCCAATTCTTCGAAGGTTGAAAGGCAGCTCAATGGCCCAAAGCAGTCTGCCCCACGAGAATTTCGAGCAATCAAGTACTTGGGACTTCTTCAAATCCTGCTTTGTGGTTGCTCGTTCCCATTCAAGCTGCTTGGTGTAGGTAACGCGACTTAGACAGAGAATATCCACCGCGTTGACAATGTTCGCCCAGCAGAGCGCGCTGACATATGCTGCCAATTTGGAACTTTTGAACGATTTTTCAACGGATGATTGTATTGAGTATGCAATGGCAATAGCTGCCATAAGGGTAATCGGACGCAGTCGTGACTGTGAGGACGTGAATGCCGCCGTTAAGCCGACTATCACTTGAATCAAAACCCATTGAGTGACTGGGAGACACCAGACGGGCAGCTGAGAGACAACTATCATATTGAAAACCTTCGGCGAATAATATCATAAGCAAACTGCGCAGTGCATGTAGCTTTTAAGTCTCCAACAGATGAGTATGGAAACAAGATCGAACATCGACAAGGTGTTGGAATATTTGGATACGGGCGTGGCGACCGCCAGGTGATAATTAGAGTTTCTTAGCATTTCTGTCTTATAAGCATAAAGGCACATGAGCATGTATTTTCTGCCAGCCAACAGAATTGTGGTGCTGTGCTCTCTACTCGTACGAACTATACCCTGCCGTACGCGTGTACCTGCAGGTATGTCTATGCACGGGTGGGAGACCTGTTTCACTTTGATACTATCCTATTGAATCCTTGCATATAAGGCAAATTGAAGCACCTACTCGTATCAGGTGTCAATCAGACTTCAGGATCGATACACAATTCATTCGTACAGGGTAATTATTATACAAAAGAAACAGAGAGGTGTGTCACTTTTTATTTTTTACGAGTACTAGTTGAAATTCTAAGTTGAGCATCTGGGAAATCGAACCACCAAAGCTGGTGGCGTCTCCAGGGCCCCAGCCGCTGATGCAAATCGGCGCTCGGGCCACGATCATCGGGATTAAACACATATTCAGCACGGTGTTCCTCGGCAACATTGAGAAATTAGAGGTGCTTCGGGTAGCATCTGCAAGGGGCTGTGTATAGTTTCTGCCATCGATCGGCCCAAAAGTCAATAATTATCCTTCCATGGTGTCGATCATCTCTGTTCTCTAAATTAAGCATTAATTGGTCATTGTTTCCTGGGGTCTCATCCCACAGAGACAATGCCAGGCACAGCAACACGACGCTTAACTGAAGATGTCGTCATCAAGTGCAATCTTGGAAATTACCCTGTATTTCAAGCGCACTCAAGTACTTCAGAAAAGAAACAGTCATAAAACCAGGAGCCAGAAGGAAAGCTCATGCATAGGAACCCCCACCACTGAGAGTGCGAAGTCAACACCTTCCTTAGTCCTGCCCAACCAACATTCACACTCATTCATTCAACTTCATTGCTGAAATTGATTTTCACTATTCATCTTTTGCCCAATAGGTCAAAGATCTCATTTCTGGTCTACGTTCAACCAACTTAGGGTCATTCACAGGAATTGCCACTACATGCACACTAATTGATGGATCACTCGCGAGGGTTTCCCGCCATGGGAGGCCAAGCTAAGGTCTTGATGCTTCATGGTCAGCTATTTTGATACAACATTGGAACTCGGTGGAATGCTTACAAGAGTACTTGATAGGAAATTGGCAATCAGCTAGCACTTTCGAAATAAAAACGCGATTCCTCCAGGAGCCCCTTCGTGAGGCAATTTTAAAAACGCTTTCCGCGAACAATGAACCGTATGCTCCGAGCAGTATAGAATTCGTCTACCCGAACGCGATATTACCGCCTCGTGTACCGAACACACACGACCCCTTTGTCTTGGAAGCCCAAGAGAGCGACATAGAGTTCACCCAACACACCGAAAGTCTTGACGAAGAATCAAAAATCAGCCAATGGACCTGGGCATATGATAACCAAGGCAAAGGGGACATTCGTGGATTCAAGGAATCGATTCAATACGTTCTAGAAATACTCCATGAGCAAGGTCCTTTTATCGGTGTGATCGGATTTTCAATGGGCGCAGCTCTTGCTGCTCTGATTGCGTCTTTGTTGGAGCCACGCCGGAGACCGAGTAATTCACATTTCAATGTGAGTTGTTCAAAACTGTGGGCTTAGCCGGGGAAACATTGCAGACTAACAAGCTGGAATGATATAGAGTTACAATATACAACATCCGCCGCTGCAGTTCGCAGTATGCTTCAGTGGCTTCATGCTTTCGCAGACCCAGTACAGATATCTTTACTATCCGAAGATCGAAACGCCAATCCTCCATTTTATCGGCAAGCTTGACCCCTGGATTTCTGGATCGCAGACATTGAAACTGGCAAGAAGGTGTCGGTCTGCCAAGGTTGCATATTTCATGGGTACTCATTATGTTCCACGCACTAAGGAAACTGTCAAGATGCTAGTTCAGTTTGTGACTGATGCTTGCGGTGGAGGAGAAGGCGAAAGCATAGAAAGCCTTGAAAGTGATTGGGTGGATATCTAGCACGGGAAATTCTAGGTCTTCTTAAACCGACTCATTAATTCATGTTCAGCATCAAATGGAACCAATGTGGCTCTTGAAAATAACCAGCCGTAGAAGTCTCAGGGTTTGGAGAAGAGGCCCCTGTGACACCGGACAGAAAGCTTACCCTTTCTCGCCCTCCTCACCTTCCACACTTAACACTTATTATACTTATTATACAACTCACCTCTACCTAGCACCAAAATCACCGATACTTATACTGTTAAACTAGCTTGTGTTTCTTTTGGCTATCAAGGCTTTTAGTTTTGATCACCTTCACTCATTTGGCTTAAGTACGGCTGAGCGGACGGGAAGCCTTGTTCTCTATACCCTCCGGTCGTATGTACTATAGTTTGCCAGAGGGCGCACACCCAAAAACTCTTCGTCTACTAAACCCGTGAGGGCCACAGATGCAATATCAGTATAACACTGTTCAAATTACGATAGAAGCTCTTTTTTCTTTTTTCTTTTTTTTTCTTTTTTTCTTCTATTCAACCAAGCGATAAACATTTCGTGGATAAGAATGATCGATTTTCGCCAATTCCGTTAACTCTCTCGGGTCAGCATATCATGCAATAATAATATAGAAACCCGGAAAAAGAAGACTAAGCGAGAAGTGAGACACGAGCAAAGCGTGGTCAATCTCCCGATCTTGACAGGCAGCTCGGATCTCGGCCACTTTTCCGCCCCAATGAGCCTCGACGCGCGTAAAAAATCAACCAATTGAAATTCCCATCACTAGGCACGTCCCCGAACGAGTGTTCCATGCTTTTGAAGCTAGTCGGTTTAATGTATTCGTGTCTGGGCTCATAATAAAAAGTGACCATGTGGTCAAACTTTCACTGGCCGCTAATCCTATATTAATCTTTCCGCCGAGAGAAAACCAGCCTATTAGCTGTTAGGCCCTAGGGGGGTGCTCCCGAACTGTCTTCTCATAAGTCAGCCAAGCTTTGCTTGGCGTTGCTTGGGTTGCTTGATTTTGACAATTCATGGATCTCACTAGAGCCCTAGGCTAGGCTACCTACGCCTATTCTCTCTCTCTCGTATTACAAACATTGTCAAGTGATGGGGGTTTTCCAGTACTTAAGTATGATTATGCTCCTCGCCAGGACGAATCCAGTCTTGACTTCTTCAAACTCATTTCTGTTTACCCCGAAGTAGGGTATACTTCCTACTCCTCAATCCGACTTAGGTGTTTTGGGACAAAATGATGAAGCATAACCTCGACCCCGTCTCCACGGAGGATATGGATGATCATGAAAGAGCCGCTTTCAATGAGTTGATCCGTCCCAGCGACAGTTACCTGCCCGATGGAACCTACTGGGCTGATCTGCCGGTCGGCGAGCGCGTTAAATTCTGTGTCCAACAGGATCGCATCGAAACCCGCAAGGAGATGGCCTGGCTCTGGGATATGTTCAAGACCGACCCCTTGGCCCCGATTGCATACTACTTCAAGAACAGTGTTCTGCCGGGTGCTGGTCTTGGTCTGGAAGGGTGAGTTACATCATGCCGGGTTTCTTGATGGAAAATCAGCTAACCAGGAGTCTTTTTCTAGTTACGTGCTGTTCTCCATCAGTAATGTCACCCCCCTATTCAAAGCCTCATATAAGGAATGTTGGTCGACTGGCAAGGTTTGCAATCCTAACTGGATTGCCGCCGTCAACTACTTTGAAGTTGTCGGTATTCTCATCGGTCAGATTATCGTTGGTCTTCTTGGTGACTGGTAAGCTTTCTGCTTTCACTCTTCCTTCACTTCGGCCACTCACCCCTGCCACTTACTTTTTTCTTTTTTGTCCTAATGTCTTGCAGGATTGGCCGTCGATGGGGTCTCATCCAGGATGCAGTCATCATGTTTGTGGGTCTCATCATGCTCACTGCTGCTTGGGGTATGACCCTCAATGGTTGGGTCATCTGCTACGCCTGGTCTCTCTTCTTCTATAGTATCGGCGTCGGTGGTGAGTACCCGATGACCGCTACTATTGGAATGGAGAACGGAATTGGTTCCGGTAAGGTCAACATGTCCCAAGATCGCCTGCATCGCGGCCGTTCCGTGGTCAGCGCGTTCTTGATGCAAGGCTGGGGTCAGTTTGCCAATCAGGCTATTCTGATTATCCTCCTTCTCATCTTTCACCATGGAGATGGTACTCCTCCTATTTCTACCACCACCACGAACTGGACCTACCGTATCTCCTTCTTCATCCCCGCTATCGGAACCCTCTGGTTGGTCTACTACCGTGCCTACCATGTCAAAGCCGCAGCTGCTAGCAAGCAGCTCGATGCCCAGAAGAAGAAGGCATCTGTCACTGGGTACGATACTCAGTCATTGAAGTTGACCTTCAAGCATTTCACTCCTCGCCTGGTTGCCACTGCCGGCTGTTGGTTTGCTAATGATGTCTTCTTCTACGGAAACAAGCTCTTCCAGAGCAAGTTTATCGCTGTCATAAGTCCTCATTCAACGTCTCTTATGACCAACTGGCTTTGGAATTTGGTGAACATTGCCGCTTCCCTAGCCGGGTACTACTGCGCTTCATGGTTCGTGGATAACAAGCTCTACGGTAGAAAGATGATGCAAAATATTGGCTTTATGATGTGTTTCATTCTCTTCATCATCCCCGCCTTCCTGTTGAAGTATTACGAATCAGCTGCCCACATTCATTCGTTCCAGGCGATGTACTTCCTCAGTTCCTTCTTCAATCAATTTGGCCCGAACTGCACGACCTTCCTTGTCGCGGCTGAGGTCTTCCCCACTCCAATTCGCGGCACTGCCCATGGTCTCTCTGCTGCTGCCGGAAAACTCGGTGCGCTGGTCATCGCCGTTGTCGGATCATACACAACTACCCAGCAACAATTCTATATTGTCCCCTGGTTCGGTCTAGCCGGTGTACTTCTCACCGAGCTCTTCCTGCCGGACACCACCGGCCTCGATCTACGCGAGCAAGAACGTCGCTGGTTGCATATCCGCCAAGGTCGCGAGCATGAGTACCATGGCCCTGCTGTCCACCGCAAGCATCTCTCTGTCTGGGAGCGCTGGATGGGCAAGGGCAAGTACTACGATGCTGACCTTGACTATCAAATGAAGGTCAAGGAGTTCCGGGCCGAGTGGGAAGCCGCTATGGCTGTCCGTGGCGAGGAGAAAGACGCTCTCTTCGATCTGGATGATGTTGATGAGTCGATTTTCCAGGGCTCTCTGCATACATACTTTGAGCGCACTAGCCCGATGATTCGGGCTATGGAAAAGAGTGAGGTTGGGCCTACTGCCCTTCCTGTTGGTGCCCGGGATGATGAGGATACTCATGGGCGGGAGTGAATCCTTTAACCCGGATTCCCAGAGAATCAAGGTATGCAAACCCACACTCGTGGTTGGTTCATTTCATGGCTAATTTTTGGATCGGTCAAGTTTTTCGAGCTTTCAACCAAGTCTTTTTGGGTAGAGTTATATATAATGCAGATTTGAGACGGTGATGGATAGTTTGATTAGGCCGAGGGGCAAATTGAAGGAGAGAACGGTGCAGCTGGGCAGGCGATCGTGGATATCAAGAGCTTAATAGCGCTTGCCTAGAGCTTGGCAGTCAGTACAACCTGTGGCAAAGTCCCTGATCTTTCTCGACGTCCCTCGCGGCTTCAATTCCCCGGGGCTTCATTAGTAACATTTAGATGGTCCGCGGTTAATTACACGTTGTGTTTTCCTATTTTGTGAATGTACATATTGTTAACTCCATGTAGTGGGGCTTGTTGCGTTGCAATGGCCTGTAGTGTGGGGGGAGGGGGAGGGTGGATCATCGATATCGTGAGCAAGGACTGAATTTGAATGTTGCCAACCTTGGAATGCAATTTTGAGATCCCCGAAGATTATCTTTGGCTCATAATACCAAAAATGTCGGCAACTTTCAATCACTGGTTCCATAACTCAGTTGGTTAGAGTGTGATGCTAATAACGTCAAAGTCGAGGGTTCGACCCCCTCTGGAACCACGATTTCTTTTTTGCGACTTTTTCACAGAATTCTTCTTTACCCAGGTAACGAATGAACGGAGAAGCGTCCAGCCCTTACATTTTTTTCTTTTTGTTTCCCTTTCTCTTCTTTCCATATTACCCGCAGACTTATTCGGCACTGGATCAAGTGGGCCAAGAGAACAATGAAGCTGCCAAGATCCTCGGGAGCTAGATCATGATAGTTGGCGTGTAGAAATTTAAGATGTCAATATACACACCTCCTATGTCTTCATTTCAAGATATATAACACGCGTATCGTGCTTAGGCTTTTTTTTTTTTTTTTGGTCTACAGCCGCACCCCTTGCCTCTGGTGGATGTCTCAAGGGGCTTGAGTCATGATAAGCCGGTGTACAGTGTAATTGTGACGCAGATAGTGCTCTACAATCTGAAGTGGGAAGAAGGATCACAAAACATGAAGTTATTCAATTTAGAGAAGAAGGAAGAGAAACCTGGGCAGGTGGGCATCTACTGTATAGTAGATGCTCACTGCAAACAGACTTCAGGAGCAAACTATTCTCGCAAATGTGTAGAGCACAAGTAACTAAGTATCACAGCAAATAAGGGTATTATGTACTAGTATAGCAGTATTGGTAATCAGTAGAACGCTCTTATATCATCATGAAAACACTCTCTCAGTTGAGGCAGAGGGTTTGATATCTCTACTGGCATTATATATAGCATTCGAGTATGCCGCGAGTGAGCCATCCCCGGGTAAAAAAATGTAGCTCAGGCGTTAGTGTTCCCGTACACTAGGGTAATTACATAGCATGGGAGAAAAGGAGAAAAAAAAGAAACGTGGTTCCAGAGGGGGTCGAACCCTCGACTTTGACGTTATTAGCATCACACTCTAACCAACTGAGTTATGGAACCAGTAATTGAAAGTTGCCGACATTTTTGGTGCTATTAGCCAAAACTAAATTTCTGTGATTCCAACCCATTCCCCCCATAATCCGTTTACGATCAGACCGATCCCAAACATTCCAAGATGAATATTATGGCAAGAAAATAGATTGGGTTAGGAGATTAAGTTCCCACAGTATTGTACAAATTATTCAGTAAGTTTTCTTCAATCTGGAGAGTAACCCTGTTTTATCATGTTCGAAGAGGGCTTGTTTGTAACTTCTTAATAGCTTAAATATCACTCAAAATTTGTCTTCCAAGATCTACCCATGGATACGACTCTTCGACGAGGATCTCTAGTGATTTGCGGCTTAAGGCATCCACGAAACAAGTTCCGATAGTGTCTGCCTCGAAACGCGTCATTGTTGACAAAGTGTTTAGGTTTTCCAAGGCTCCAATATAAGATCTCGGCAAGGCACTAATTATGCGCGGGTGTACTATGTCAAGGAGTCCGGGAGCAAATGATAGTCTTTCTCAGCCTTCTTCAACCCTGAATTCGAAACTTCCACAGGCAACAGAATAGTTTGTCGCATGGGTATTTAAGACTTCAATGTGACCAGGAAGAACAAGCTATTTAATCTTGCTTTGCATATTCGACCACAATGATCAACCCAAACTATCAAATTTCGCCAGTCGAAAGTGCTGATCTTCCCTTTCTTGTGAAGTTCATCCACTCTGCGAAATTATCTTTAAGCATCAATCGGCTTCTGTATCAACCGTGGCCTAGTAAGGATGTACAGCGGAACCAATACGCCAAAGCCGTGGAAGGTGCATTCGGGGACTCCTCGATGGAGTCATTCAAGGCAACCGACAAGGAATCGAATGAAATTATCGGCTATATTGTCTTGGCAAAAAAAAAGGCGTTCAGGAACAGCCCACCACCGCTTTTGAGGACGCGGAAACATCTCCTGAGCAAAAATTCCCGAAGGAAACGAACCCCGGGCTCCTGGCCGAGGTGTCCAGGGCAAATACGAAACTGAAGAAAGCAACCGAGCACCTTGATCGAGTTGGTAAGTCTCTGAAAGATATCCATGTTCATAGATTCTTCTCTAAATCGACCCATAGAATTGGTTTACATCTGTGTCGAGCCTTGCTATCAAGGACAAGGTATGGGCTCTAAATTGCTCAATCTAGGATTTGATCGGTCTGGAGCGGAGGGCGTTCCGCTTGTTGTTTGCGCAGAGGCACCTGCATATGGCTTCTTTGAAAAGTCGAGGTTCAAAGAGGCATCACACGTGGATATTGATCTGGGAAATTTTGCACCAGCACATAGTGGATTCGGCATTTTCCGGCTCACAAGCATGATCTGGGAGCCATAGAAAAACATCAATCAGAATCTTTGAGTTTCCAGCCTGGTATCTCCAGTATAAAGCACTCATCATATTTCCTAGAGGGTGTTTACTTCCCTATGTCCGAGTTAAGAAAAAAAAAAAAACTTATTAAGCAGCATGAAAGACTTCAGAAGCTTTGCTTTTTGATCGAGATTGTCCACATATCAATTTTGATTTTGATTCTCAATGTGTCTGTTGAAGTTTGAACAACGCTTCCTCGAGATGAGCCCACCTACACTCATCGCATACATGAGCTCTGGGCCTACTCCAATCTCTCGGCAGTCTGAGTGCCGATTCGATCTATGCTGCTCCCTACTCGGGAGAATAGTCCACTGTGCTCTTTACATCGCCAAATATAGGCTGGAAAAGAAGACCATTTGAGTGAGGATCTATGTGTTCTATATTACAGAAAATTTTATTCATATTGTTTAGGGCTTTTGATAACTTATAATTAAAGATTTTTATATAATTCATAATTATATTGCTTTAGAAATGATATTTTCCTATTCACTTTAGTTCAAATAGATTATTCAAAACAATATTTAGACTGATTCTAAGAAAGAAGATATTAAAGCAATAAATATCTATTATCAATGACAGTAAAATGAAATCTGATATAAAAACGACAAGCCAAAGTGAAGCCAAAGTGAAAACGGAAGTGAAACCAAAGTAAAGCCAAAATCACAAGCTTTTCGAATTTATGATCAAGTAGGGTACTATCTACGATAGAGAGGAGCCTCTTTCCAATGCTTTTTGTATCTTTTGTATCCTAGATATAACTGTCTTCTTTCTCCTCCCTTTCCTTCCTCTCTTCTTCACCAATTCTTTTTTGTTCTCCTCTTTCGCCTTTCTCTCTGAGCTTTGACCAAGACATAGCCCGATATTGTTTTCAATTCCAACCTCTTTGAACCGGAACAATGCCATAAATGTAAGCAACCAAGTTGTTGTTCCTCATCTTTCGCTGTGCTTTGCAACAGCCCTTCTACTATCAATGCGGCTGACACACTGTTCCCGCGCCTCCCACCTGGCCGGTGGGGACGATATCTCAGTCCCTCCCACGATCCCGAGCTAAGACTGGTGCAACGACAAGAACCACGACACTGTCAATCCTTGGAACCGCCCTACCTCGCCGTGATCTGACACTGCGGTCGATGTACATCGAGAGTCCTCACCACTTCGACCAATCACTCAAGGAATACATCAAGCGAATCGAAGCGCTGCTCGTCTATATCACCGGTGTCGAATTCCATGATCCTACCTGCCCTTTCTGTCAGGCCGGTCACAGTCCCTTCCTTCTCCGCATTGTGCCAGCAGCCTGTGGGGCACCACAGAAATTGTTGAGACTACAGGGCAAGAAAGAAAGGGACGGACGGAACCGACTGAATTCACTGCGGGGGGGAGAGAGAGAAGGGAGAAGGTGGAAACGGATCTATCTACATATGGGGGTTGGGGCGAATACCCTACACAACAGAAATGCGCAAATTGTTACTGGGCGCAGGCGATTGCGAGCCAGGGACGAGCTGGATTCAACTATGCTGAATTCAAAGACAAGTTAACAAACGAGAACTTCATCAAGGGCCAGCTTGGGTCTCAATATGCGTTTGGATGTTCTGGTTCCACCATTAGCAATACTAACCGCCGGGACCTCCCAGATATTTACCGAGGGCGGGTAATCGATACTGACGAGTGGGTCAATTTTGAACAAGCCCTGACAACCTTGGCGCACTCTCAGCCCAGGACTTTCCCTTCATCACTCTTGTTACTCAATTACGAGTCATGGTGACTGCCCGCGCCCTTCGCCACTATGTCAATAGTCGTCGAATGTGAAGATGGTTTGCAACTTTTAGTTTCACATTTTGCGCAAATTTCATCTGCCTCCACGATAAGGCCAGCATTCTTAAATGAGAATTGAAGCATTGCAAAATCCTGTCGTGCCACATTGTTGTGCTGAAAACAAAGTAGGCTAATGTATTCATGGACATATTTGGAACTCGATTGAGGTCCAGGTAACGTATATAAAGAACACCACTTTAGAAGAAGGGCACGTCAAAGGGGATGGGGTAAATTAGGAAAATATATACTGCGAAGACACTTCACAGAGAAACATAATGTTGAAGTATTATAAAATGCAACGGTGATCAAATGTAGGTTTTCAAAAGATGTATCTCATAACGCAAAGCTATATTTTGGAGAAAATTAGAATAGACACATGTAAGTGGGAGTGTCCATCAGCCTTTCACTTGCCAAACTTGAGATAGCGCGGTTTATTGCAATGTCCCCACATCATAGTTGCTCAATGTTACGGGGTGATTAAGTGTCGTTCCATTTCAAGATTTGGGGTATGTAGGAAAATTTAGGTTTAGGCTAGTAACAATATGCTTTAGAATGTCTAGACAAGCACATACGACCACAGGGTGTGGAGAACAGGGCTTCCCGTCCGCTCAGCCGTACTTAAGCCACACGCCGGTGAGTTAGTAGTTGGGTGGGTGACCACCAGCGAATCCTCACTGTTGTATGTTTTTTCTTTTTTTTGCAAATGTGTGGCCAGTAGCATATGGTTGTAAACTAGATCCGTTTTGTGTCGCTGTTGTTGGTGTTCGCCAGAGTGTAATATCCGAACAACGCCATACTGGCACCTAACACCATTTCATGGCCAGAACGCGGAAGCTTGTTTCGTCCAACGAAAACTCTCGCTATAGTCATGCCTATTACAATTATTTCTAGAATATTTCTGATGGATAAGCAACATGAGACCATTCTTGGGTTGTTTTGCTCAGAGACTTTTGGAAGGTATGTAGAACAGGGCTAGTCTGTGATGCGTAGGCAAAAATCCCATCAAATTATAGGAGCATCGGGTCCTAATCAATAAAAAGAATTAGTATGGAGACTTAAACCCCCCAACAAAGCATCCTCTATATATCGGCGAGAATGGAACATGCCTCTTCATCAAACCTGCATGCCAAATACCCCGTGGTGATCTCATAAACTCGACTGCTGCTCCCAGGGCCACCGCGGGCACAGAAGCTCCAAGCTCCCAAATCCGCAGAGAACCCGAATCAGCTCCTGTCTCCTGTTTGAGCCTAGCACTGATCATCACATAGTCATTAACACTAATTATGATCCGTTTCTCGAATCCACCTACCCATTCGCACTTAGTCTTTATGAAAAACGGGATTGAATTAGTCACGTGATTTAGATAGGCTACGCTTGGTTGGGCTACTCGTAGTGTGGTTTGCTTTTGGCTAATCATATGTAAGTCAGGATGTTAACCAATCAATAGCCGTTTTCGTTCGGGTTAACTTTAGTCCTGGTACAACTGGGTCTGTCATCCGTGAAGGATGTAAGGCTAAGGGGAGGGAGGGGCGCCAAAGAGCCGGGTACTGAATTCCGCCAATAAAGTCAATAAATACTGTGAAGGGCTGTAAAAAAGTAGCGCGATTGAAAGGCAAAAGGAATCAATTTTTTTCTGAGGCTCAAACACCCATCACTAACATAATACATAACGACAAAGTCGAATATTCTACCGTATACTACAATATCTAATTGAATATGAATATCAGCAAGGGCTCGTTATAGCAGCAATAAGTGAAGGAGCGGTACCATTGCACGATGTATGTCTCGTTATAATATATCTAACTTTGATAATTTTCACCTAGGTCCACCTTAAACCGTCGGTGTCTGGGTGTCTAGAAACATTCACCAAACTGAAGTGTTTTTGACAGAGAAGCTAACTTTCACTGTACACCATCTCTTGTACTAAGCTATTACATGCACCCGTTCCATAAGAATCATTATTATTATAACAAAAGTCCTAGTTTGCCAGTACGCCGACCTTCCTCATGCGATCTCCCTCGAGTTTGGACAAGAAGACATTGAAAATATTCCTGTTTAGTCCTTCTGACTCGTCCACTGACTCAATCATTTCCCGGATAGCAGCAATCTTCCCCTGCTTCCACACTTGGTAAACATGGTCCAAGTCCAACTCAACGAATACAGCTAGCACTTTGGCAACACCCTCATCCTCTGAGCTACCATAAAAGGTTTTCAGGACCTTCTTTTGGTCCTCATCACACCGCTCCAGCGCTTCGAGAACAAGCCAAGTCAATTTGTTCTCCTGTATATCACTGCCTGCTTTTCCCGTGACCTCAGGATCACCAAACACATCCAAATAGTCGTTGCGTACTTGGTAGTACTGACCAAGGGACAAAGCCACTCTATACAGCTCGCTCAGGTTGCGAGGAGTCGCAAGCTGAAGATAAACCAGCGGGAGTGCCAACGGGGTATAGGAGGTGTAGTAAGCAGTTTTCCGCTCGATGATGAAGTTGTATTTGTCGCGAGTGAATTGAGATAGTCCTCCATAATCTTTTGAGGCCGTGAGTAGGTCATAGGATTGACCGATCTCGATTTGCAGTGCAGTCTCTCGGAACATATCGACCAGGTCATGATAGGCAGGATGGGTTTTGAAATGAGTCTTCAAAACGACGAAAACGCTCGACGTGAGGAGGCAAGCGTCATTGATGGACATCAGCCCGATTTCCTCGCGTCGGTACCAACATGGCTTTCCGCGGCGCGTAAGAGAACCATCCATGATATCATCCCAGATGAGGTAACCTGCATTGAGAATTTCTACTAGCCACCCGAGGACCATCAGATCTTTGGTTTGGGCTGTTGTCAAGCCACCACATTGCAAAGTCTGTGCGGTGTCGAGTACAGTCCAACAGCGATGAAGTTTGCCACCTTGAGTATTGATGAGGAGGCACTGATGAAAGGAAAAAAAAAATCAGCATTAAACAAGGTAACAACATTCATGACATTACCTTCTTATACATCTCTACAGCATCGGGAGGAACCCCCATACCTAGAAAGTATTCGACCAGTAATTCGGCGAGGGAGGCCAGGGTAGCATCAAAATCCGGGCGGTCTGTCTTTGTCTCGACGAGCTTCTCTGGGCGGATCTTTGTCTTAGTGGCCTTTGTCTTGGTGATTGGAATTTCGAAGTAATGAGAAGCTCTTTTGAAAAATGATCCAACAATCCCAGGGCCCTTCATCATGCTGGTTGAGATTCATATGAGAAAAGAGAAGTAGGGTTTTGTGAAATGTGATATCTTACTATCTGCCTCTTTATACTTATCGTAGACTCTGCAAACAGCAACCTTGGAAAGGGTAAGGTTTTTTTGACTACGCACACAGTATCTTCATACGGTATCATAGCTTCAGCCCCCTACCTCATTTGCGGAAGTGAAAACTCTAGGTCATACGGTGTAGATCTAATTGTAAAACGTATCTGAATATTTCATGATTTAGTACAAATATGCCGTCACATGGTCAGATGATCGACTCAGTAAGGCGAAAAAGCAGAGTCGGAGCGTTGATTGGAATATTGAATTTAGAAAAGACGGTGAAATATCAAGAATACTCCAGCATATGATATAAAGTAACCCATACTCAAAAAGTAACAAAGTTGAAGGGTGGAAGTCTTTCAGTTCTTCAAAATGCGACTATATCGACGGTCTTGCCACACCATAAAAAGAAAGCCAAAACTTCTCTGGCATCGCAAAAGAGACCCTTTCATCGAAATTGATTCTGTCTTCAACTTACGCGGCTTTGGGGGCTATAAAAGCACCCTGTTTCCCGGTACAGTCACACGAGAGGGACTCATCTATCGCTCGGGTCATCTGGGTGATGTGACCGCTGCTGGCTGGCACTCTCTACAACAGATGAAAATATCGACGGTCATTGACCTGACTAGTCCAGGAGAAGTGGAGATCTTTACTGGAGCACCGGATAGAAATTTTCGTCCTCTAGGTGTCGAAACAATGCACATGCCGTTCAAGCAAGGGGTCTTCTCTATGGAGAGACAGGTGGAAAAATATCAGGCGTACAGGAACATAGGACATGAGGTGATGAGCATAAGCCGGCGAATATGGTGGTTGTCTTAAAGGAATACAAGCTGAGACTATTATAGGTTGTTGCGCGGGGATACTTGAACTTGCTTGAGGTTGGTTCCTCAATTATCCAGCGGATCCTTATGCACTTTCGGGACACTACCGAAGGCGCATGTCTTATCCATTGCGCCATGGGAAAGGATCGAACTGGTGTTATATTTGCTCTTTTGCTTTCCATCGCTGGCGTTTCACATAAGACAATCGCGGATGAATTCAGCCTGAGTGAGGCACACTTGCAGCATTTGCAACCGAGAATCGCCGATATTGTGAGAACCATTGATCCCAGTGAGCATGACGCAACAGAAATAGCACGATTGGCATTGGAGTGCAGGTGAGCAATCGCAATCAAGCCTTGACTTGGACCTGAGAAGAAAGTCTGAAACAGAAAGCTCACAACCCTGGTAGAACAAACGTCATGGCCTTGACTCTTCAAATGATTGAAAAAAAATATGGGGGGGTTGTCCAGTATGCCAGAGATATTTGCGGTCTATCCATGAAGGATATCAACCGCCTTCAACAAAACCTGCTTAGTTCATGAATTGCGTCAGATTAGTCGGAATCCCATAAACCCAGACTCACAACAAAACAGAATTCAGACTTCTTGAATATGTGAGACGTGTATGCATGCAGCCTTTTTTAGATATGATGTTTGTTATATCGAAGCTTGTTGTATTTTCACTGCTGCTCGCAAGAGTAAACCTTGTTCAAACCTTAATGTGCCGAAAGATACATCTGTATTAATGTAGATACTGATGTCTCTACAGTTCCTCACCGCTCCATCAGAAATCTAGACCCAATATCAGATCATTTCCCCCGAAATATGGTACCGCATCATGCATCAGTGCTGCTCATCGTCATCGATATACTGATCACAAGATGCACTGCTACCTAACAAAATATTTTGGTGCAAAAATGCAATGACGGTACCCTGATGCCTTGGAAAAGTCGAAGAAGTTGCATATTTCAAAAGTGGCGGTATGTGCAAGTTAAGATTATCCACGAAGTGTACACTATTGTCATGGCGTAGATATACCACTTTAGAATGACGTGAATATCGGCTATGAGGAATGAAACAAAATCTGGAAACTGAATCCGCTGGGCATATACCTAATACTGTGGGAGAATATTGCGCAATTATTGTCGACTAACTTACCGACATTACTTTGTACTGGAATTTTCTTCTTCTTTTCTTTTCTTTTTTTCATTGATAATGACAGGCATGGCCCCAGGGGATTTGAGCATTGCTTGCAAGAAGTTTGGAGAGATAACATTATCATGATGTTGATACTTAATTACCTCTCTTAGTAAAATTAAGAAAAAGAGGTGCTGCAGAAAGTGTGAATGTGTCCACTTTCCCTCTGATGAAGCTCTCTTCAGTCTGGTTAGGGGCCAATGAAATGTCATACGATCGAAGTAGCTCCGCAACTATCCGCCGAATCTCCATCATAGCCAGCCGTTTACCAACGCAAGCATTTGGGCCTGATATCTGATTAATTCAAAGATATTCCCAATATACATCACACAGCAGTGTCTCACCGATAAGAAATGGGATGAAAACAGATCGATCCTTGACAAGCTCAGGAGACTCTGTCCATCGCTCCGGGATAAACTCATGTGGGCGCTCGAATGAACGTTCATCTATATTTTCAGAGGATGTGAGCGGGCGATGCTGCATGAACATCCTAGTCAGGAAAATGGTGGGTGTTCAAACCTCTGAAAAGTGTGTAGAGAGGTACTGTAACAACGACATCATAAGGGATGTAAGTGTCGTTTACCATCAGGCCATTTTCCGAAGTAGTGCGCGATAGCCCAGCTGGTGTTGCCGGGTGTAATCGAAGGGTCTCAAAGATAACAGCGTCGAGAAGTTCGATGCTTATTAGATCTCTATCGTGAAGTCTCGGAAGCTTATCCAACTCTTGCTGAAGTTTTGTGGAAAGTTCTCGATCACGAGCAAGATGAAATAGTAGATGAGTGATAGTTGAAGAGGTAGTGTCACTGATCAGAGTGTCATTCGAAGCTTTCTGTAGGAAAGAACCTTGGAAAAGATAGAAAAATAGAACCATACCTGCCGGCAATTACAATCAGATAACCATCTCCATGCAACTTGAGGGTATCATATTTCGATCTTGGACCCTGCATATACGCATCAAGTATAGATCCAAAGATATCGGGATGCTGGGGTCCTTTCTAGATACACAGCAAAAAATCGATAGTCAGCAAGGTTAATGGGTCCAGTCGTATTTGAAACACACCTCAATTCTCTCTGAGAATTGGCCTTCAATCCACCTCCAGAACCTTTTGTTATTCTGGTTAACAACCGGCGTCCTCATGAGGAGAGTTGAAAGCCAGGGTAGGTGTCGTAGATAGCCAACAAGCTTCATATCTTCACGCATAACTTTTAAGAAGTAGGACTCCGTTTGCTCGGTGAGCATACTGAATGGTTTGCCAAAGGCCAAGTTGGCCATAACCTCGAAAGCATAGTACCTGACCCACGTAGACATTTCAATAGATTTGTCAAGTCTTTGGTCGATTACATCGATCAGCTGTTGTGCACATTTGGTGACTAAAGGCTCATAGGCATCTAGGGCTATTTTGAACATTAGTCACATATTTAGAAAGAAAATGGGTAAGGGGTCAGTTACACTTGGTATTGAATGATTGATCCCAGATCTTTCGGCGTGCTGCATGTTCAATCTTGTCTCTCGTAAAAGACATTGGCGTCCTTGGATCCAATAGTGTATACCATGGACCTTTTGTGGTCTCTGACCGGGTACCATAGATAGCTGTCACAGCCGCTGGATCTGTGATTGACAGCTCCCTGGGGCCTATCGGCAAAGAAGCATGTAGGATTAGCTGCGCTGAAGGGTATTCAAATAGAAATGTCTTACCTAACCTGACATAATCTCCAAATTGGGCATGTAAGTCATGGATTTCTTCATGAAGCAGGAGCTTCTTTGCAGCTAATCGTGTTATATAGAAATTGGACAAACAAGCAAGGATTGGGCCAGGGAACCGGACCAGCCTATGAAAAAATGCCCGATATATAAGCATGCTCATATAGACTCCCATCAAATGATATGCAAACAATCGCCAAATATCTGCCAAGGAGCCTCTCCATAGGTTCTGCACGGATGAAGAATATTGTAGACCAATTGTCCCAGTCAACATAGCCAAAAGGTAGGCGAGGACCAGGGTGGGAGACTTGGTATCCCAATCACCGTATCGATATAAAAGGGTGTGCAATGAAACTCCACTGATAATCCCCAGGATACAAAAAATATCTGGTGAATAAGACATTTTCAATGAATTTCACAAATATTTTGTGTTTGCGAGAGGTAGAAGGCCAGCTGCTTTTTGACCGAGAAAGATTGAGACATTCTCGTAATAAATGTGATAACAGATCAATCACCGCAAAAGTCATAACATCCACATGATGAGTGGCACATGACAATCTAACGAGCTGTATGCACTATAGTGGAACTAATGCACTTACTCGAGCCGTCTGGAATCGTTAAAATATCGTTTAGATTAAACTTTCTCAACAGACATATGACGTGTAAATAATGATGATTCGTGTTACACAAACCAGTGAGGCCCGTGCTACGCAGGTCTATACGAGTAGGCGCCAGGGTCGGTTTCAGTGTTTTGGGCACCATTTTGGTCTGAGGCATGTACGGATACCTGAATTTTGACCAGCAGAAAAAACTAAGATACCTGAATTACCATTATATACACCTAGACTAAACCCAATCGAGCAAGTAAAGGTGTACAGCCTCATGGCTCCCTACTTTGCCCCCTCTTCAACATTTTTACTTTCGCTACCGATAAATCCTCCAACCACTTTCGTTTCTTCTCTATAAATGGATATCAACCCTACGGATCAGCTCTAAGATTCTTACTGTTGTACCACTAGGGAACTATTACTCCTTTATTTACTTTACGTCGTCGTCGATCTCTTCGAATGAATAAATCTTTCGCAGGTATACGAGTAGGCAACATCGGAAATCCAATATTTAAAAACGTACGAAGTAGCAATAGGAACATTTGGATAAAAGAGAAGAAACTTAAATCTGAACCCCCAAAGCACTCAGCGTTAAGTATATAGCGGTATAGATATTTACATAGATATGAATAACTTCAGAGTCGAGGCTCTCGTCTTGGTAGACAGAGATATTCAATATTCAAGACCCTCGCGATGCGGGAATTTGTATGGGGGCGAATAGTTTCATGATCTATGTTTACTTCTTACAGTACATTGTACCGGGCGGTGTATCTGGCGGTAGAGAGTTCCATCCCAAATCAAAAACAGATCTGCGCAAACATTGAAAACGACGCTGGCGCCTATACCTACGACTTCAGGAGTATACCTGCGTACCCGTGCGACGAAAGTTTGGAGCGCCTCCTCCATAGTACATCATAAATGCAGTGAAATGAAATCGCATACACATGGCGGTAATCAGTGATTTATCACCGGTCAGTGGACACCCAGCAAATGTGAGGTCATCGAGTAGGGCAATCAGTCATAGCACAGCTGACACGGGTGGATTGTGCGAAATGTATTGAAAACTTTTATGTCGTACAATTTGTAATTGAGTGTAGATCAACCTTAGAAAAGATCAATTGCAATGAGTTAGGGTGCAGGCCATGAATATATAACTATGTATTACGTCTTGTGAGCTAGGAAATGCTTTCTCGCGCCAGTTGTCTGTTCAATTTAGTACCTCCAACCCACCAACACCACCCCTCTCATCTATCAAAACGGGCTCCACTAGCCTATTTGCTCAGTTTTGCGATATTCTATAGCCCAAATGACGGTTACACACGATAAGACGGCCGAGGCGTATCGCTTTCCTCCGGACTGTGGATTTGAGAACAGATTGTTCATCCAAGGAGAGGTACGAGTGCTGAGATACATGATGGCAATTTCTCTGTAGAAGAGAAATAGGTTAAAAACTGACCGGTTTGCTAGTATGTTGAAGCACAAGAAACCATTCTCGGGGAGTGCGTTTCTCCCGTTGATGGTAGTCTTACAGCAAAGGTCCATATGGCCGACCAGCAGGATGTTGATGCTGCAGTTGCATCCTCTCGTGCAGCCTTGCCAGGCTGGTCACAGAAAGCTCCAACCGAAAGAGCGAGTATTCTCTTAAAGTTCGCAGACCTACTGGAAAGAGAAGCTCAAACAATCGGTGAACTCGAGGCGGTTTGTGGGGTAAAGCCTTTGAACATCTTCCTTGCTATTGAACTACCTCTTGCTGCCCGTGCGTTTAGATGTAAGTTCTTCGATAAAAGATATCTAAAAAAAATCCTCAAATCAATACAGATTTTGCTGGCTGGTGTGACAAGATACCCGGGGAGTCTTTCCCCGTCAGCAATGGCTTCTACAAGATAGTTCAACGGGAGCCTATTGGTGTTTGTGCCAGCATTACAGCTTTTAACGAGCCCATTTACGGGATGGCTGCCTCGCTAGCACCTTGCCTCGCAGCAGGCTGTACCATGATTATCAAACCAAGCATGAAATCGCCTCTTTCTACCATCTATATGGGAAAGCTAGCCAACGAGGCCGGCCTTCCTCATGGAGTTCTCAACATCATCCCCGGAGGTCCCATCACTGGAGGTCTACTCGCAACCCATATGGATATTAACTATATTACTTTCACTGGAGGTCTTCAGGCCGGGAAAGAGGTTTCTCGACTTGCTGCGATAAGTAACCTCAAACGCGTTAAACTAGAGCTTGGTGGGAAAAGTCCGAGTCTCATTTTTGCTGATGCAAATTTGGACGTGGCAATACCGTGGTGCGTCAATGGTATAAATCTGCTCTCAGGTCAAGTTTGCTCTGCTAGTTCGCGGGTATACGTTCATGAGAGTGTGAAGAATGAAGTTATCAACCGCATGAAAGTGGAGTTTGAGGCGATGGAAGGAAAATTTGGCAATCCTTTGGACAAAACCACAGGATATGGACCTTTGGTTGATAAGGCCCATTTTGATCGCGTCACAGAAATGATTGAGCGTGGGACGGCAGAAGCCACACTAGTGACAGGTGGAAAGCCCGTTTTTGAAAAGGTACTGTCACCCCTGGATTCCAACATGCACATTAGGAGAATCCGTGAAGCTAACAGTATTTGAATCATATTACTAGGGCTACTGGATGCGCCCTACGATCTTTGTCGATCCCGCCCCGGACGCAGAGGTCTACCAGGAAGAGATATTTGGACCAGTTGTGGTAATTTCATCATTTTCAGACGAAGAAGATGTTATTGCCCGAGCAAACCAATCCAAGTATGGATTGGCAGGCGCTGTTTTCACCCAAGATATCAACCGTGCAATGCGCCTGGCCTCTGCAATCTCCAGTGGAACAGTTGGGATCAATTGCTGCAGTGTGTTTGACCCGAGCGTTCCATGTGGGGGTCTTCGGCAAAGTGGTTTTGGTCGTCGAAATGGAAAGGTTTGTAACTACTCAAGCTCGCATGACTGCTTTTTTAGTTTTGCTGTACTAGAACATGCTCTTACCATTGATTTACAGGAGGGTCTTTTGGAGTACACTGAGACAAAGACCATATTTCTGAAGTATGTCATCCCGTTCCGATACAAGGAGAAGGTGTTTTTGGAAAATACTAACATGGAATAATTAGCATGAGTTACTAAACAAAATTTCTCAGCCGGCTATCACGATGATAGAACGTGGAGGCCTGAAACCAAGTCCTCGATGTTTTTCGACATTATGTGTCTATCTTCTTTATTCGTCTTTTGTTGGTCTCTTGACATTCCGTCACCTTTATTACTGTTGGATCGCCGGTGTCAAGTGACCGCCTGCTTTGTAGATAGACCCAGCTTCTTTGCTCTCTCTCTCCCTCTCTGCTCATTTTCCTTCAGCCCATCAGATAGCCAAATAAACGAAGTGATTTGTCCGCTCCTGTCCTTCTTGCTCTCGTCAATTACAAGTTGAACTATCCCAGTACATGATTCAGAGGACAACACACAGAGCAAAAGGAAAAACGTAAACAGTGTAACTGGTCGCTTAAATGTCGGTGGGGGATCTGCAAGTGCCATAATCACTGTTCGTACTATTTGCACTAGATTTGTTCCCCTCTATTCCATACTTATCCCAAAGCCACCCCCAATATCGCCCCCTCGATACCGCTTTACAGACTTAAAAGTACCCCGTGTCCTCCGAACCTTCCTCTTGGCTTTTTCTTCCCAGCTCTCTTTTCCTTTGGCTTAGACCTACTATCAACACATGTGTTTGCTTAACCTACCGACGGAACTGCTTTTATTGCTCCCAACATTCCTCGAGACCCAAAGAGATATCAACTCGTTGTCTCGAACCTGCGCCCAACTATATCTTCTCCTAAACCCGTGGCTGTATCAATACAACTCCCGATACTGCGCTAGCTCCTCGCTATTATGGGCTGCCAAAACAGGGAACGAGGCAACGGCTCGATTTTCTATCCAAGAAGGAGGTGACGTTGGTATGGTAGATGATATTGGCCGGACACCGCTATGTTGGGCTGCGCGAAGGGGACACGAAGCTGTCGTGAAACTATTGCTTGAGACAGGGAAAGTCGATGTGGATTCTAGGGACACCGAAGGTCGGACGATCCTATTCTGGGCTGCGGCAAATGGACACGAGGCAATTGTGAAGCTATTGATCCAGAGCGGGTTAGTAGACATAAGCTCACAGGATACTGTGGGGTGGACAGTCTTGTTCTGGCCTGCAGCAAATGGACATGAGGCCGTGGTTGAGTTGATACTTGCCACGGGGAAGGTGGATGTGAACTCCAAAGACACGGAGGGTAGGACGGCGCTATATATGGCCGCAGCTAGAGGGAAAGAGGCAGTGGTGAGGCTGTTGGTTGAAGAGAAGAAGGTGAATTTGGACTCAAAAGACTCTCAAGGCCGGCCGCTGTCATACTGGCCTGCTGTAAATGGCTACAAGGCTGTGGCAAAAATCTTGCGCGAGGCTGGAGACGTGAATGTGGACACTACTTTAACTTCATTCTGAGGTTATGATGTCTTTTCACCAATAAAAACTCTTGAGCAAATGTTGCATAGATTGAACATGGTTGGGGGAGAAGAGAAGACTAGACTACTAGATCTGACTAGTACTAGAGTGGGAGTATGTGCAAACATTGCAAACATAAACAAAGATTATCGATGAGACCAACAACATCACGTGACGGTCGAATGGCAGACAATTATGTGCCACCTGTAGGTACTGAAGTATAGGTAGGACCTCTTTTTTTTATTTTTTTTGGATGTGGTTAAGTAATATTCAAACGCCCCGAAGTCGCTGTACATAATCTTTGAGGTATAGACTTCGTACACTGAAGTATATTTCATTTGGCCAAGAATGCCACCAGGCTGCCAATACCATAATCAAAGCCTGTCATGTCATCGCATACAAAATTCTGATCTAACATGTGAAATTGGATATTTAGAAAAAAAAACACCGTTGAATGATATCTCCGGAATCTAAGAAAACGGTGCATATTGTAAGTCAAAAAAACTAGTTCACCCGTCAAGAACAACTATCCCCAATCGTCCAGCAACAGTACTCATATCCTCGACCCGGAATACCTGCGTATCATCGGGGCACACCTCCAAGTATGGGTCCGGATCCCCGGACGTATCGAAGTCCGCCATGTAGAAATAAACACCGGCTTCGGAGACAAATTTGGGGCGATCGAGCGCAACTGTAAACAGACGGAATGGCATTTTGGCCGTCTGTTTGGCAGAGGCGAAGTATTTGTCGGATTGCTGAGGGGTAAAGCGATATGCGGTAGAGGATTGTTCGTCGTCCGCAGAAAAAGTATGCAGAGCCCCGATGGCAAACGGATTTTCTTGATTGTGGTGGGATAGAGCCTCGGTTTGAGCGGGGCGGATAGCTGACCAGGTATGAGAATTTGGGATACAGAATTTGAAGTTGAATGTTTTATTGGCTGGGAGATGTGACACAATCGACGCCGTGAAAAGACGTGCTGTGCTTTCCAGGAGAGATGGTCTTGCTGGATCGTCGACGGGGGCGAGAAAAAGCGCATGGATAACATATTGAACGTCACAAACAGCTTTCTCCGCAGCATTGGTGACTGTTACGATATCATTCTCCTGTGAAATTTGGAATGTCGGATCCAGAGATAAACCGCCGATTGCAGCTTCTTGATTTAGTTGGTCGCGAATCTGATCTTCGGATGGCGGATTGGATTTAGGAGGTTCGCCTTCGTCGATATCCAATGCATATTGCAAATCAGGGCGACCGGCCTTGAGGAAAATATCCAGCATAAGGATCTGCCCGATATTAAACTGTTTCGTGATACGTTGTGTGGCCAATTCAAATGCCTCGGATGTAGGATTCTCATCCTCAGAAATACGCTGGGTTTCGTCAATATCACCGCGCGTGTTGGAAAATGAGCGGTTGAAATAAAGCAAATCCGGCCCTTCGCCCGCCTGAGTATACCCGTCCTCATCCTGACCGAATCGATAGCTGTGCGATCGAATCAAAATACAGAATCCACCGAGCGTGCCATCGCTCCGACGAGGGAATTTGGGAATAAGCGGGGGTGCATTCTCAACCCCTGACCGATGAAGCTGCTTACGCCGGGCGATTTCCTGGCGGTTATGTTCAATGCACGCAAAGGCGTCGGGCGGGCAGTATGAATAAATTTCGAACAAAGGCTTGAGCTCTTCGTCAATAAAGCTCTGCATCAGGTATTCCCGAAGTTCCTCATGGTCGTCATCAAGAGGAACAAGACTGTAGACCTGGAAAGGGACCAAGTGTACGTCATCTGGCGGGAACTCAGGCTCGACGAACTGTTCCAACACCACGGGGTGACCAATATGGTCAGTGTAGGTGCGCACTTGCTGCCAATCACCATCTTCCGAGTCAGACATGGTGACTTGTGTGGGAGAGAGTATTTGAAGAGAAAAAGTAAAATAAGGGGAGGGGAAAGATGTACGTGGGGCCCCGGAGGAGACCGCTGACATAACCAGAAACACAGCCCGCGGGGCCCTGGCCGGGGAGTGAAACACTTAACTAGGGCTTAAACTCCAGTTAAAAAGTTACAAGTTATACTTAAGTAAAACTACCACCTAGGTACGAGCTCTAACTCACTTGAGATATATTAGAAATACTTAAGTATACATATATACATAAATACATCCGAAGAAGGCCAAGTCTTCTACAGACCCAGCTTTCCTAGCTGGTTGTCTCCCCACATCCCGTATTTACTCTTATCATTTGATGCACTCGTCGGATCACCGGGAAGAGGCTTGCCCACGTTCTTCTGGGGGAACGTGAACTTACTCACTGCTGCATCACCACTCGTCATAGTCTGAGATGCAAACTTCTTCGCATCTGCGTTGGTTTGGCCCTTGCCTTCCATTTTTGTTTTAGCGACTTGGTGCCATCCGCTCTGCACCTTTTCAATTTCGTTCAGGTGTCGGTCGATCCAATAGGCCCATAGAGTACGAAGACCCCAATGTTTGACGTCACGGGGGGCCTTCGGTATCTCGATTGCCTTGCCTGAAGGTTTATTGTTGACGTATTGACGGGTGTATTCATGGTCGAACTCGTCGGAGATCAACTCGATGTCTTGGCTGGGTTTGGTCCATTTGTCGCTAAGGGTTCGGATGTAGTCGAAAACGGTGGCACTCATCATGACCTTGTCCGCTAGACCCTTTTCTTTGAGACTGTCATCGAGCTCGGGCTGATTTCCTTCTGTGATGACCTTCTTAACTCCATTGGGCGAGTCGTGGTAAAGAACGAGCAGATCAGTATTGGCAGCACTTCCCAAGAAGTCGGCTGTATGCTGGACCCAGTTCTTTTTGGGGCCATTGTTTCTTGACCAAGTCATTCCACCACTGGATCCTGTTTAAATACCATCAGTCAATATCAACCCCGCTGCAGTATGTTCCAGGGGCTCTTACCTCCAAACACTTCATTGCACCAGGTAGCATCGGCAGCAGTCCAATTGCCAGGGAAAGGAAGCTTGTTTCTCAGATTTCCGTACTTGGCTTCTTTTGTTCCTCCGCACACCCACTCAAGGAAATGGCTGACCAGGTGTACTTCGAAGACATGTTCCGAGCGGAAGGCCGTGGCAGGTAGATCCGAGTTTCCATCCACGTAGTAGGCATTGTTGGCTGCCTGTTGAGAATTCTCTTTGGTTGTCTTTGCCGAGCACCGTCGGTTGTCGTTGATATCTGTTGAACTAGAGAGCATGAACTCGGGAAGGTACCACTTTTTTAAACTGGTCAGCATTTTTCTTTTCAATCAAGAACACACAATCTGAATGCTTACCTTTGCCACCTTCGTCGGACCATCGTTCTTGGCGTTACACCGGGGATATCTCAGGTACGTGAATTTATTCTTCGAACTCAGGAAACTGAGGGTCATTTTCTTGGCGGTATTCGGGTCTGAGGCGCGCGCCAAAAGAGACGAGTCTGAATCGGTACACTTCTCGTCGTCACCAGGTGGATAGTAAGGGCAGGTATCGTCGTCGTCGCGACGGAAAAGCGACGGGACTGCTCTTTTCGAGTCCTCATTGTCGCTGCTTTCCTTTCCGAACATTGAGCACATCACACAGAAGTTCTTCCCGTTGTCTTCTCCAGGACAGTTAAGGAAGCTGTCGGGGATTGTAACCAAAGGTCCGAGGGTGAGAGTGTCACGCTTGGCAAGTGAATGGGACACCGGCATGGGCATGAAGCCACGTTCTTGTGGGTAAACGGCATCTGTAGAGGCATTAAGAGCCTCATAGCCCAGAGATGCCCGTTTGTCTTTATCACCACTATCGCCTACACAAGTCGAAGGCGTAATCTGCTTCCTAGGCACCTCGGCGAGTGTGACACGGAGGTCATCGCCCCATCCGAACTCCTCAGGCGCATCGAGCTGTGCGTACATTGTCGAGCCGGCATCAATACCATAGCTGAAGGGGCAGCTGTTATCGCCATTCAATGAGGCGTGGGCTTGCGCGTGTCCGATCACATAGCCGTCTAGAACAAGATCGACGGCGCACCGAGGTACCTTCCAACGGTCATCGAAGTCAATACCAAAGCTGACTTTCGGTTTGAGATGCAGGGCAATTTCGCCGTTGGCAGTCACAGAGGCATCAAATGAGGGCTTGCCGATGGTCTTGGCTTCGCGGTCGGGCTCATCAAGGGCTTGATCTGGGTGTTTTTCGCTTTGAGGGTACGTCTGCTGAATCTCCCAGGATGCGAGGGTAACGTCTGCCTCGAGATGTCCGGCTAGAACAAGAGAGGCATCCGCGGAGGCATAAACAGCAAGGTTAGGACCGACCGTCACGACTCCAGGCACGCGGAAAGTAGCACCAGGGAAGTCGTCGAGACCGAGCAGCTTGATATCACCGGTAGAGTAAGTTAGGGAGGCAACAGCATCAAGCTCAAATCTGGCGTTGACCTCTCCGGCATTTCGGAAGTAGAGGTAAGATCTGCTGAGATCCATCCCCTCCGCAAGGGTTGTGATGATAGTGAGACCGAAGGAGGTCTCGACGTCAATCTCAGCTGTGATGGTGGACTTGATGTTCGCCTGAGCTTGAGCTTTACCAACAGGACACGGCCCAAACTGCTGATCTATGAGAATGAGCTCGACTTTCTCATTGACTTTGTGGTTAAGCTCTTTTGTGGCCTCGGCCTCGCCAACGGTGATCAATTCGGCGAGCCAGTTGAGAATATCCTCACCAAACCAACGTTTGTGGACCTCATGGCGCTCCATGCCATTATGATGATACGCGTCGCTCCACTCTTCTTCGAGCCAGCGCTTGCGGTTCTTGTGGAAGCCAGATTCATCTCGCTTTGCACGTTTGCGCTTTCGCTCAGCATCACTGCCACCAGGTCTGTCGACAACCGAGTCCCAGTATCCAGGCTGGTTACTATAATCAATTCGCATCATGGCATCACCGAAGTCACGAGGGACGCGCTTGAAGTTATAGTCAAATGTCAGATCGTAAACAGATCTCCCGGCAAGGTCACGCTTATTCAGATGTGTTGCGAGGGTCTGGTTCTGGGACTTCTTGAGCTCCTTCGCGACCGCATAGCGACCAGGACCACATCGATTGGGCATTTGCAGGATAGTGCCAGGAGCGCCTTGTCCACGGTGAATGTGGTCACACTTGCTGTCCTCGCTGGAATCGGTACACACCATGCGGATGGTATGCTCATCTTCGCTATCGCTGTCGGGGCAGTCCATCAACTCCCAGGGAGAGCCATCGCGCTTGTCCAAGCTGACTTGGACTTCCTCAGGAGCAGTGATAACCACGAATCCGAAAGCAGCATCCTAAACGCGTTAGCATTTTCCCGGTTCCGTAAGGCTCAATGAGGTAGGGTACATACATCAGGCTCTTCTTCAGAATCACCTTTAGCGTCGCCAGTGCCCCAGGTGTCATCCACCGAGAGGTTGAAATCGGGGTCATCAGCGTTGTCTGGAGGGTTCTCAAAGAGATACTCCAAAGGAACTGGAAGGAACAACGATTCACCACTTGCGGGCGTGCAACAAAAAGCTCGTTGACGGGCACTATCTTGTGTCAGCTAGACCCGATGAGAGTTCATCCATAATAAAACTCACGTAGGCATACAGTCCTCTCCTTCGCCATACGGACTTAGGGTAAGCTCAACCTCGTGCCCAGTGTTGCAGTGGTTGTCGTCGCAGCTACTCGCGAATCGTCCACCTTCTCCCTGTCATACTATTAGCCAAAGTGACTTCTGATGCGGAAGTGAAAAAAAAAAAAAGAAAAAAAAAAAAAAAAAAAAGAAAAAAAAAAAAAAAAGACGGAAAGGAAACATACAGCCCAATAACAGTCTTTCCAGTTTTTGATTTCTTCCTTGGAGCAGCAGTATTGCCGTTCGTTGTCAATGTCAACATCGCGCAGGTAATCAGCCAGGGCCTGGCCGACCAAGCCGGTGAAGTCCAGCACATCGGAGATAGACTCCAAGAAAGTTCCGGCAAAGGTCAAAGGTTCTTGGTCGTCCGAGCAAGTGTCCTTCCAGCCGCAGTTAATCCCGCCACCAGCAGCAACCTCTGGGATAGGACAGCAGTAAAATTGACGTCCTGACGAGGGTTAATTGACTTGAACTTCAGAATAGAAGGGAGGGAATAGTACCATCTGCACAGTGGCCGTTGCCTCCATCAACGGCTGAAGCCAAGGCCACTTCACCACCATGACACTGCCCGTTACAAAGAATTCCAGATTCACCACCACGCCAATGGCAGGTTGACGGATCTGGAGCAGCAGCGATGGGACAGCAGATACGGGAGTCACCTTTATCCCCACCATCGGGGCACTTAAAAGTGTCCATTTCAATGCTTCCCGGGCCACAGGGCTTACCACACTCCGTAGTACGACAGTCACCGGGGTGTTGGCTCTCCCAGTAACTGGTGTCATCCTTCATACTGTCAGTCATGATAACGTCCTTGGGGTACAGAACACCACGAAGGGCATCGAGGTTTCGGGTATCCTGGTCGATGGCCCAGATAAGAAGACCGCCAAGGCCTTTCTCGTTGAACATCTTGATCTTCTGCTGGAATGTCTGCTGGTCGTCGTATGAGATCCACTGGTCCTCGTCCCAGACGAGATACTTAATTGCGTTCTCCTTGTCGTAAACCGGCTTGACCTTGTCTTCTGCAATGATTCCGACGATCTCATTGTAAGATAGAATTCCCTCGGTATCAGTGCAGGCACCCTTCTTGCCCCCGTGTTTGAAGGCACAGCCGGGCTTCTTGCACTTCTTATCCTTGAGCTCAAATGTTCGGGCGTAGAAGGCCAAGCCCATGTTGACTTTCTTAGCAGGGACGTCGTTTCTCCAGAGAAGATCGAGGGCTTGGTTTATCTCGGTCATGTTGGTGTGCCCAAGGACATGGCTACCGATTGGGTTGCTAGAATCCCAGACACCGTGGAGATCGTAGCTCATAAGATTCATATAAGTGGCGGCCTTGACCATTTCGTGGATGTCAAACCAACGAAGGTACCAATAAGAAGTCGGGGCAGTGAAGGAGAGCTCGTACTCAAGGTCCTGGTCATCGAAAGCCTTCCGGATGTCTTGCAAGAGCTTCACGTAGTTTTTGCCATCGTCCTTCGAGTCCCAGTCTTTGGGTTGTCTATCAGGAGCCCCAGGATACTCCCAGTCAATATCTACGGCAGTGAAGCCATAGTGACGCATGAAAGAGAGTAGCTTGTCAATGAATTTGGAGCGGTTTTTTTCAGTGGAGCTGAGCTCGGCAAAGACTTTTTGAGTGTCTGTTTTGTTGTCGTTGAAGGTCCAGCCACCCAGTGAGACACCAAGAACGACGTGTGGGTTGCGCTCTTTGAGAGCAGTGAAATCTTTGAGAGTTTTCTCTTCAACCTCGGGCATGGGACCGATGTCGTAGCTATCAGGGTCAATATAGGCGAAGGCATCTTTTCAAAAATTAGTTAATCGAGTCCAGATCGTAATGTGTAAACAGACGTACAGTTAACATGAGTTAAGCTCTCAACGGGGATCTGCTTGATTTTCATGCCCTGGCAGTCCGAATCGTACTTGAATGCCTCGTAGTATCCGATGATGCGCTCCTGGACATTGCCGGAAGAAGCTCCAGAGTCAGGCTGTTCACATTTGTCCTTACTCTGGCAGCCATCTCCGCAGAACTCCTCGGTGGTACCACAGAAGCCAAATTCACTGCAGCAGACGTTGAGAGGGCAGGCTTCGCCAGGCTCTTTTGCATCCTTGCCGCACTCTGCATGTGCATCACAGTTACTCCAGCAGGCATCGTTGGGAGATTTGCCGGTAGTACCGCAGTAGGTTTTACCGAAGCCACAGACACCATTTTTGCCGCAACAGGCTCCATTGGAGCATGGCTTGTCTTTGCTGCAGCTGTACTTGTCGTTACCGAGAAGTTTGAGTGAGCTTATCTCGCTGCTCAGGTCTCCAGTAAGGTCGGCTGTAGCAATTGAAAGTAAAAATAAAAGAAAGAACAGGCTCAATAACCCTCGAGCCATGATGAGGGAGAAAAGAATGAAGGAATCGAAAATGAATGAACTAACGAATGGATGAATGAAAAAATGAAAGAATGAACGGGTTTGAACCACCGAGGGGGGTTGACCATGGTGAACTAAATACAATCAACCCTGCGAGAGGCAACTCGAGCCAGGGACGGCTGATCTTCTGAAAATTCCTCCGGACAATAGCCCACAACTCCTCTCTCAACGGGGTCGGACAGCGGAAAGACTGTACTGTAGCCGAAGTATACGAGTAGAGAGTGAGCCAATCACGCCCCATCCGTGCCTGATTGCCGATCATCTGGGGGCCAAAACAAAAGAACATAAACCACGCACGCGGCTGTGACTTTAGTGTGACTTTAGTTGGTTTTAGGTCTTATTTGCTCCAATCCCAAACTGTGCCAAGACAGACGGTGTCGCAGTTGTGCAGAGTCTGCAGAATTGTCACATAATCGTCGCAGAATTTAGGCGTCCCATGAGGGGGCCAAAGGTACCTAAAAGGAACCTGATGTGCAGGAGACCCTGGGGCTAAGCACATGTCAACAGGCTCAGCGACTCAGATCCCAGAGAGACACGGGATGTGGAGCGCAAGGTGGAAACAAGCCCCTCGTAAGACGCTGCATTTTACCCCAAACGGACATTGACCCGCCCATCGCATTTTAAAGTCGCCGCAGAATGATAGGGTCAATGCTTGTTCAATTGGCATTCATCAATTCATTCGCATATAATGCTTGGTACATTAACACGCCTCGGCCAGTCCCCAACTACTTGTCCATGCTTCCGACCATGTCTTTCGTTCATTCGCTTGCGCGGTACACTCTTTTACTCTCTCTATTCACGCTCATTACCTGTTTCCAACCCGTCCCTGACAACTATGTCGATGACTACAATGACCAATGTGCAGACGCACTCACTACCAATTTGACATCCTGCATCTCGGCTGTGCACAGTCTCAGTTCCAACAATTTTTACTCACAGCATGGTCTTGACAAGATTTGCACTAGCGACTGTCGCGACGAGCTGGTGGAGTACAGGAAATCTGTGACTACCGAATGCTCTGGCGCTACCTACACCAACGATTTGGGCACAGTGTATCCCATCTCCGAGGTCGCTGACACTCTTCTCTTCAACTTCCAACAGACCTGCCTGAAGAACCAAGGCGAGTACTGCAACATCGTCCTGGGTAATATTACCAAGAATGGTGGAGATGAATGCAACAAATGCCTTTTGCTCAAGCTTCGCAACGAGGCCCGGTATCCTTACGGCAGCGGGCCTGATGTGTATTCGAGCGCGTACCCCAGTTATACCTCTTCTTGCAAATTCACTGGGTACCCAGTGACTGTCAAGCCGACCAATTCTCCTAGCTCGACGGTGTCTCATAGGTAAGTTGAATCAAATTGATGAACCACTGAAACAGATACTAATGCTCCGTAGATCCAGCACACACACCTCGTCAGTAGCAGCTAGTCCCACAGCTAGTACATGCAGCGGCAAAAAGTACACCATTCAAGACGGAGACACTTGCGAGTCGGTCTCCAAGTCACAGAGCGTTGCCACCTACCAACTTCTCATGGACAATCAGCTCCAAGCCTACTGCGCCAACTTCCCTAAATCCGGGAACCTTTGTATCAAGAATTATTGTACAACGTACACAGTCCAAAAGGGTGACACCTGTAAGAGTGTTGCAAAGGCACACAATATCACGAGAGTCCAGCTGCGCTCCTACAATCCCTGGATCGACGGGGGTTGCTACAACTTCAACCGTACTGTCGGCACAGAAATCTGCATGGATGAGCCCGGGGAGAAATACCACGCTCCATCCTCTGCTCCTTCTGCCACAGGCTCACCTACAGCTTCATCGGCCGTCCCTGTGCCGACCAACCTCGCCAACAACAGCACCAAGAACTGTGGCGAGTATTACGCTCCCAAGACCAATGAAACGTGTGACACAATCGTGGAGAAGTTCCCCATCAGCCGTGATAATTTCCTCATCTTGAACCCAGGCCTGAACCAGAAGTAAGCCTAGAGTGACGTTCCTTCCCTTTCTACCAGAGCAAAACTGACAGACCCAGCTGCACAAACTTCATCGCTGACCGCAGTTACTGCGTCAAGCCTGTCGAAGACATGGACAATTACCCCGGTGCCCCAGGCTACATGCCATCTGTCTCCAAAGTCCCTTGGGGTGATCTGCCAGACGCAACCTACACACCCATCAATAACCCTGACAAGCGCCCTATCGCCCCGGGTACCCTGAGTAAGTGCGATAGCTTTGTCGAAGGGCGTGATCTGCAATACAATTACGAGGGCTACAGCGATTGCCAAGTGGCTGCAGCATTCTGGGACATCTCGAAAGCAGATCTGCTCCAGTGGAACCCGTCGCTGGAGAAGCACAAATGGAATTCTACCCGTTGCAGCTTCAGCAAGGAGTATAGATATTGTATGGATGGCGGATCTGGATCGAGTTCGTCGGCCTCGGGGGCTGTGCCTAGTACGCCGATGCCTTCGACGCCGCTTTCGACTTCGACTTCGACCTCTTCGTCGGAGTCGAGCCCAACCCCCACGATCACATCAACCTCTCAGATTTCAACCACCGATGCAGAAACAAGCACTAGTTCCAAGCCCACCAGTACGACCAATGGCACGACGACAAGCGGGGCCGTCCCGTCACCTACGCAGGCCAACAGCATCCCTGACAACTGCAGCGACTACGCCAAGGCCAAGGATGGTGATAACTGCATTGACTTTGCCAAGGATCACGACGTTACTCCTAAGCAGTTGTACGAGTGGAACACGATTTTGGGCGATGATGGCAAGAAGTGCGGCACTATGTTCCAGAGAGACACATACTACTGTATCGGTGTGAGTAAATAGGCGGGGCTATGTATTTTGCAACTTAGATTGCTTGATAACATGTTGATGTGAATGGTAGTACTTATTCAGTGTAGTGAAGGATCTTTGTATACTTAAGTAATATGATTGAAACGAGAGTCTTGAGAGCCTCTCAGGTTTTGATATTTGCCTGAAGTAGTCGACCTCAAACCTCGGGAAGATGTATAGTCCTCCATAGATGTGACTGGCGATACATAATCTATGAACTATCATTGAGTTTCTCAGTCTTGCATCTCTCACAGGTGCAAGAGAACAAGAAGTATTCTCGTAGCAGGCTCTGACGTGTGTTGAAATCGACATACTTGCATAGATCGAAATAGGAGATTGAACACTCTTCACCCGCTCTAAGATCCCGCGAAGTAGTAAGAATCATTCTTCCTTTGCCATCTGACTCCCAAGAAACCTAAGTTGTGTCAGTTCAGAAATGGATCCGATTCACTAATGGATCGACTTACATTTGGGATGCAAGAGTGGTTTATCAGAGAGATCATGGGATAGACCCCAATCCCATAATCCTTGCCGCGATCGATTGGTGGCCCCAATAAAGGACAGCTGCCAGTTGCTCTTGGGTAAAGTCCAAATGAGTTTGACTCTTCCTTAGAGATAATGCCCACTACATCATCGATGGTGAGGTTTGACCGGTCAATTTCGCCAAAGTATTTTTCCACCAGCGAATTCCAGTGCTGAATCTTTGTCTGAGGCCATCGGCCCGCATTACCAGTGAGATTCTCAATAGACTTCCATCCCCTTGTGAACCAATTTTCGTGGACATAGTGCTCTCGTGGCTTGGATTCGGTTGCCATTTCGAGATGTCGTCCAGCTAGGAGCCGTACAACTATCCAAAGCATAGCAAAATCGTACTGGCCCTCGGTTTCACGGATTCTTTCTCCACATCTCCTCAGCCAAGCGCATTCAAAAGCATGTCGGTCCTGATCTGCAGCTCGACAACGATCATTGCACCAAGCAACATCCTGTATACACTTCCGTTGACAATGCACGCGTTCTTTGTGTTGAGGCAGCCGTTGGTTGCATTCAATATTACTGCAAATGGTGGCATCAGGCTCAAATGTGTCAGGAGACGGCACCAGTGCATATGGTGTTTCCATAATAATCATTGTACCGGCCGGGACAAATTCAGAAACTCGGGTATACCTTCCTTTATGGTAATCGTTTTCTTGTCTTAATTTCGGATGAAAGTAGACTTGCCCATCGTGCTTCGAAGTGCTCGAGTTGGCTCCGATCGGCTTCTGCGCAACGACTAGTTGCCTGCGCTCCATCATGCCCAAGTCGACCGGACCATCCCGCTTTGGCGTTATGAGCTGTTTTCCATCGTCCGTTTGACGAGATAGCCCTGATTTTGCTAGAAGATCATCCATTTCTTCCAGGTCATAAAGTCTCACTGAGTAAAAAAGGTCCTGAAGGACCGAGGGACCATCCAAGTCAATCACAATCTCTCGACTGGCGAGTAGAGTCTGATCCGGAGAGAGTTCGCGTTCCCGACAAGCGAGCAATTTTCCCTCGCCCTCCAGCCACTCCCATCCACCTTGGTTGAAGTTTGATCTGATCCAGGATCCATCGACATAGTCGATAATAAATATTCCTCCTGGTTTGAGCACTCGACAGACCTCACGGAGTGACTGCAGATCTCCTTCATCGCCACAGTGTCCAAAAGAGTTTCCGAGCAGAATGACCACATCGAAAAAATTGTCCGCTGCAGGGATTTGGCGAAGGTCTCCTTCACGAAATTTGATGTTATCCTGCACATTCTCGGCTAGCGCGCGCTCCTTGGCAAGATCAAGAAGGTAAACACTCTGATCAATGCCATGAATACTCAAAGAGGGGTATTGCTTGGCAAGATGTATGCTGTGCCGCCCCTGACCACAGCATAGATCCAATACCTCGACAGATTCCTTCTGGAATAGTTGCTGCACACTCTTTATTTCGAGGAGCTCCGCACATTCAGTCTCGGTGATTGCAGAATCTTCGACACAGTCACCGTCGGTGTGAAGATACATCTCATTATACGCATCTTTCCACCAATCTTTCTCAATATGAGGAAACAAAGACGCAACGCGACCGAGGGCGCGAGTCGTCGCCATGTAGAATAATTTCGAACTTTTCAATAATTCGATTTCAATTTCATGCGGTGAAAATGCAGCCTGCTATGCAGAATGAAAGGGATGATTTTTCGAAAAAAATGTTGCAAATAATTGTAGCAACATTGAAAGAGAAATAATTTCGCCCAATATTCTAGACGCAGAATGATTAATCCTTTTATAGGAATTTCTCCATCTCAACTCTCCGACGAAAATAGTTCATATTGCACGATAAATTGTTCAGTTGCGCTGCAGACAGATCGTCCTCTTCATCCGATCTTTGACAACAACTCACTGGCCAAAATGCATGAAGGTGGGGCCCATTTCTTTCCTACGGCGATTGAATTTGGTTCATACTTTAGGGGTTGAGATTATTTCCTACCGTAAGCACCAATAAAGAGTTTCGGAAGTAATTAGATTATCAAGATACCAAGCCGTGAGGACGTTTAGTACTTGGCGGGACAAATGAATGGTGTGAATAATCTCCCCGCGCACAGATCTCGACGTTAATCTGTTTCTAAAGTTTGGAACTAATTCTGCATGTATGACACGTCACGCACACAAAACCTGTTTCATGACCAAAGATCTCATCTTAACAGTGAGATTGAAACCATGACTTGGAAATTCGGAGTTCAATAACAACAATGAACAGAAAGACGATTTGGGGTCTCCAAATGCCAGTACAAGAATGAGTATAGCTTAGGGAACATAGAAAGTAGAAATGACACCCGAGCATTAGCTTAACCCGTCAAGTGAACTCTCACTTGCAAGTTTTGAAAAATGATTACGACATCTTACATCTTGCGGCACGAGTATGTGTCCGCATAGATCATACAGCGATTAGAATGTTTCAGGTGACCGACCTAGGGCTTATAATTTTGTGTTGGTCTATTGCAAGTGAAGGTCCATGTTAATTCAATCCTTCCTCATCCCTCACCATTCCCCGATCTGATGGATACCGATGGAGTGGCCCAGATGTCAAACCACCGCCACTGGCACATCCTGGTGGCGGTCTGCATGGTGATGTGGGGAGTCTACTTTGGTACATTCAAGTCCCCTCCCTAATATTATGGCTAATTTGCCCAGTGTACGATGTTCCAGGCTCTCTTTCGGTAGCTTTGCAAGAGCATTTGTCACTTCCAGCCCCTCAATATACGTATCTTGTGTCGGCACTCTATACAGCTTATGCGGTTCCCAACATGATTCTCCCCTTTTTTTCGGGGTACCTCGTACAGCGAATAGGCGAAAAGTGGGCTCTTCTCGCCACTCTACAAGCCGTATTAGTTGGCCAGTTGATCTTCTCACTTAGCCTCCAGTTAAGAAGTCAGCTGGGAATGATTCTAGGGCGCGTCTTTATCGGCCTCGGAGGTGAGATAATTGGCGTTTTGGGAACCGAAATTACAACCCGCTGGTTTAAGTAAGGGATCCCTTGCTCATTGAAAAATGTCACTCACAAATCTTTATCAGAGAGAAGCAGTTGTCGTTGGCGTTGGCGATCACCTTGTCGGTGTCAAGACTTGGCTCGGTCGCAAAATCTGCTATCATTCCCGTCTTGATAGAGGATTTTGGAATAGTACGTGCCGTATGGATCGGATCGATTCTATCTTTGGGCGTCGCTGTGGTGGGTGCCATCTACCTACTCGGTGTTCGTGGTGGCACGCTTGTGCACCATGAGAGCGAGAATGCGGGAAAAATGAGCCCGGTTCGACAATTCCCTTCCGTCTTCTGGAAACTTGCGTTGATTTGCGTCTTGGGTTACGGAGGAATCAATACCTTCCCTATTTCTGCACAGCGATTTCTAGCAGCCTGGTTCTACGATGGGGATCAGCGAAAGGCTGGGGCTGTCACCGGGTAAGTTATGATTCTGGTGAAAACCACCTCTTCCTAACGGTCTTTCAAGAATACCATACTTTCTTTCTGGAGCTCTCGTCCCGGTGTTTGGGCTTTTTTTCAACGAAAATTCATTCCAAAGCTACCCGCCATCCCTATGTGCAGCTAACATTCTCATGGGAGTGGCACACTTACTATTGCTAGTTATAACACAGCCTACTTTACCTCTCACTATGCTAGGTATAGCTTACGCACTTTATGGGGTGGCATTCTGGGCTGCTCTGGCACAATGCCTTTTGTCAACCGTGGAGTCCATTTCAGCGAAGGAAAATATGTCGCACAGCTGGGAAAGATCTATGAATGAATCCGAGTACGGGAGTATTCATCCTTCAGAACCGCCTGGTGGTTTTTCCGATGACCCCGAAGAACATGAGCCCCGCGGAACAAACGCAGAGAGCCTTATTACGCTTGGCTATGGAATCATGACAAGTTTGAACAACTTGAGTTCTGCTGTGATTCCGATCCTTCTCGCCAAGGTTGAGAATGTCATGGGGTTCACCGGTCTCGAGGTAGTCTTTTTCATTCTGTCATTGCTTGGGCTGTTGGCGTCTTTCGAACTGTTCTTGTCGTTGTCGGTAAGAGTTTCACTTCATTAGATATACTAGAGAATTAGATCGCAATGTTGGTACAATATGAGGTTTTGGTTTGGAGGTCGACAGCACTATCTGAGGAAGAGTGCAGCATGTTCGAGTATCAGATCAAAGGGTTGCTGCAAATTTGCTTCCCTGTCGAATCCGCGATCCGTATTTGAAGAATATGAATCTTTCATGTGTCAGCCAATCATACTTTCTCAAGTTATAGCGAAATATATGGAGAAAAGAAGGTTGTATGGGCACTTACGGGAATGGTGCCATGACCAGAGTAAGCAAGGCCAGAAGAGTTGTCGCCCAATGATAACCCAAGCGATGGTACACTTTCTCAGTTTTAGTAAGAATATCCTTAATATTCAAGGATCTGAGACATACTTTGAGTGCCAAACAATGGGGAAACACCACCAAAGGTAGATCTTGCAAAACTGTTCGCTGCCAACGCACTTGCTGCGTATTCGGGATAAGCATCCACCAGGAATGTAAAGATTCCCGAGTAGACTGGAATAGTTCTGAAACATGAGTTAGCTCTAAGAATTATTATTTCTTTTCGGGGTCAATGTGGTCGCCAAACCCTGCACCAAAAATTCCACTGCCGATGATGGCACTGATCCAGTGGACATTGGGATAAACAGTCCAAGCAAAAATGAATAATCCGATTGTAACCAATGGTGCCCCGACAATCGCTGCAAATAATGGTGAGTACATCTCAGTCAAAGTTCAGAATAGAACAACATACCAGGGGGTAAGCGCCACTCGGGCTGATACTTCACCGGCTCAGATACCGCTGCAGATGCGCGCTCGAGCCTTGTGTAGTTCCAACGCCAGAATGGATCTGTGAAGATGGCGATTACCATTCCGACCAGAAGTCCAAGAAAGCTGCATCCTCTTTGCCACAATGTAAACCCGTACACTTGATCGAATATGAGCTGGAATGCACCGAAAAAGAGGTACAAGATGCCGAGTAGAATAGCCGAGAAGATGCAGAGATTCAAACACATTGGCTCCAAAGTGAGGAGAAGAATGGGGCGGTAGATCGATTTGGTGATAGTAGCGAGGAATGTCTGCATCTTGATTTCCATTTGGCTTTTCCATCTTTCATCACCTGTGTCGATGCGTATCTGCTGTGCTTTTCTTTTGAGCAGACTGAAAGAGTAGTTAGTTAGAGAACCGACATGATAGATTAGACACAAATGTGCATAGGGTGAAAGGTCTCTGGGACAAAAACGATGATAGCGATGAGCAGCACCCCGGTCCAGATCATGAGCACATAGAAGGACCAACGCCTGTTCACAGTCAGTCAAAATTGAACTGTTGAAATTCATGATTGAAAATTACCAACTGGTGAATTGATTGATAAATCCGCCTATTCTGTTAAATCGTCAATGACCCTGCAATAGCATACATTGACAATGTCGGTGACTTACAATGGGCCCAGCTCTGGTCCAATAAAAGGGCTTGCAGTGTAAACCATCATGGGAGCTGCCAGCTCATGGCGTGCGAAAAGATCGCCCACAGTACCTCCCGCCACACTGAGGAAGGCACTTCCTGCTAGACCCGAGAAAAAGCGACCAATGATTAGAGTCTCTGCATTTTGAGCCACTGCGCATGGTATGAGCCATACGAGGAAAAAGAAGAGAGAAGCAATGTAGATTGGACGCCGTCCATAAAATTAGTCATTTTTAATGTTAGACCGAAGGTTGAGTAATGTGTCGTGAATCGGATCGGGAAATGTTACCTCTGAAAGGGGTGCCAGGATAAGAGGACCAAGACCTATCGAACGAGGTTAGCGAGCTGAGTAAACAGCCTGAGTAAATAAAGCCTGCATGGGGCTGGATATCCCATACCCAATCCCCAGATGAAAAAGGAAAGGCCTAGCGTGGCAACGATTTGAGAAATGTGAAATTCCGGAAGGATCTGCACGTAAGCTGTTGTGTAGATTGACGAAGTGCATGTTCTATCAAGGTTAGAAACGTATTTATCCCGATTGAAAGTCACACTCACACACACAATGACCCGGCAGAAACCAGAATCACAATCACCCAGCGGCGAGCCAGCCCAAGATTCCTTGGGTTAGACTTGTCGTTCTCATCCCAATCTACTATAAACTCCTGTTCAGGGGAATGCTCCGACTTCGGGGGCTGGTTCTTTTCCGCTGGACAATAGGAATACCCATCATTCAAGGTCCAGCAGCGATCCAGGCCAGCAGATGTTGATTCATGTGTGGGCGGGCGGACGATGGTGGAAGAGTTAGGTGCGATCGACGCTTCCATGTTGAAAAAGTCAACCTGAACGGCGAGCAACGAGCACTAAACATGAAAAGAATTGTGCGCGAGATAAATGGACATGGCAATTCACTAGCCTGGTGGCGTTCCGAGGTCGCCATCAGCCACTATCTATAAGCAAACACCCTGACGATGCGGGATTTGAAATACGGTTCTCGGGCGCAGACTATGGGAGTGCCATTGGGTGACAAAACCCAAGGTTTAATTAGTCCGATCGTCACTGTCACAGCCTGGGGATATGTCCAGACACTACCCCGTAGGCCCCGGAGCATTTTGCTGGTAAACTTTTTAGGGCGTGAGCATAATCCCACGCCCTAGCCTCTGATTGGTCGATAAATGTGGATTTTTGACGGGACCCCACACTAGGGCGTGCCCCATACTCGGGAACTCGGGATCTGCTCGGCTTCGGGTCAATTCAGGTCGATGACGTCGAGGATCGAATGGCTAAAAGATTCACTGTACAAGAAGAATCAAGAACATAAAAGGAGACACCTTGTCTGAGCAGCTGCACATACCCACTTCATTCTCGCAACAATCCCTCGTACCCTCAAGCCCTCTCAATCGCTTTCAAATCACACAATGTCTCGCGCTGGCCAACCAACCGATGCCTCTCCTCTGGGTCGCCCTTTGGAATTCTCTTTCTCGGGTCGAACAGTCCCCAATCGATTCATGAAGGGTGCCATGAGTGAGCGTCTGGCCTCTTGGTCAGATGACGAACTCTCTGCCCGCGGAATTCCTTCTGATGAGCTCGTGCAATCATATACTGTTTGGGGTCAGGGTGAAATTGGAGTCATCCTCACAGGCAACGTCATGATTGACCCAGAGCAACTGGAAACAGAAGGAAACCTCATTATCCCCGGTGACGCCCCCTTTTCTGGGAAGCGATTCGAACAATATCAGCGCCTAGCAACTGGCGCTAGGGCCAAAGGATCCTTGATCGTGGCTCAAGTCAGCCATCCTGGTCGACAGACACCTTACCATTTGCAACCACACCCCATCAGTGCCAGTGATGTCCAGCTCAGTGGTGAAGTTCTCGGAAACACATACGGTGTGCCGAGAGCCGCAACAGAGGAAGATATTCAACGCGTCATTGACGGCTTTGTTCACTCGGCAGATTTCCTAGACCGCGCCGGCTTTGACGGCATCCAACTTCATGCCGCCCACGGTTACTTGCTTAGCCAGTTCTTGTCCGAGACGACGAACTTCCGAAAGGACAAATACGGAGGCAGCCTGGCCAACCGCATGCGTCTGATTATCGAGATTCGGGAAGCGATTGCCAAGAAGGTCCGCCCAGAATTCAGCATTGGAATCAAGGTCAACAGCGTGGAATTCCAGCCCAACGGATTCCAGCCCGAAGAAGCCCGCGAATTGTGCCGAACACTCGAACAACACAAATTCGACTTCGTCGAGCTCTCCGGAGGTACCTATGAGAACTGGAAGATGAACGATGAAGCCAAGCGTGACTCCACCAAGAAGCGTGAAGCGGTATGTATTCGATCGAGCATCCTTTCTCATTGAAAGCAGCAAGCGCTAACGATTTTCCAGTTCTTCCTTGACTTCGCACAAATGATTGTCTCTTCACTCAACAAGACCAAGTCATACCTGACCGGAGGCTTCCGATCTACGGAGGGAATGGTTCACGCTCTGGAGACACTGGATGGTGTCGGCCTTGCCCGTCCACTCTGCCAAGAGCCCTTCCTCTGCAGGGATATCCTGAGCGGGAAGGTCCCTGGCGCGCTTGTGCCCCTCATCAACCAATATGACTTCGGATTGGCTGCGGTCGCTGCTTGCATTCAGATGCGCCAGTTCGGAAATAAGCTCGCTCCTATCGACTTGAGCAAGCAGGATGGTGCTGATGCGGTGGCAGCAGCTGTTGGACGATGGGCAGAGCGCAAGCAGACTGATCGCTCGGAAGCTGCAGTTCAGCCCCCTCTTATCCCTGGATATGCAATCCCCCTGTGACGGGTAGCATGAAGGGCAATAGGTCTCTGGCCATTCCACTTTCCTTTGGGCATTTTTAGATTTCTGCGAAACGCCGAGCGGGACGAGGGATGGAAAGAATATCAAATAAGTCAACATTAGAAATATACTGCAAACTTGCAACATGTTTGTTCCCCGCCCTCTACGGCTTGTGCTTGGGAGGAGGATAAATTCCCATAAATCGGAAATACCTTTCATAAATGCGTATTCACGCAAAGTCTAGGCCTTGGGATATGCGGTGGCCAGGTAGTTTCAAAGCCCTGTACTTTCGGGGTTGGTCGTCCAACGGCGGGGGCTGGGAACTTGAGGGGGCATCTCACTGAGGTCCGTGCCCATATTCGACTTGGAATCATCACACCAACTCACAACTCACATCTTTGTTGCATTTAAACAGATTTTGATCATGCAAGCCAGCTCTTCCGACACCGAGCCAGTCTCGAGGCTAGTGGCGCTGCCGGATGGTCACCGTCTCTCAGTTGTTATTGCGGGGCCGCAACGCCAAGCCGACGTCCCCATAACCATCATCATTCCAGGGGTGGCATGTAGCATGACAGAATGGGCGGGCGTTCGAAGACTCCTGAGTCCAGATACATCCGTCTTGCTATATGAGCGTTCTGGCCTTGGTGCGTCAGATGAATCTGAAGCATCACCAACAGCATCCGACATCGCCTGTGAGCTCGATGTGCTTCTTCAAACACTAGCTATTACTCCACCGTACGTGCTGGTATGCCATTCATATGGTGGGATTATTGCAAGAGAATTCGTGGACTTGCGGCAGCGCGCCGGAGGGGACGATGTAGTGGGAATGGTATGCGTGGACGCAAATCAAGAAGACAGTATCCGACTATGGCCGGACTCGGATCTCTCGGATCTCGGAAAAGGTCTGGATTGGTATAATGCGATCGGGTTAGACGAAGAGAATGCGTTGTCAGAAGCTGAGTGGCAGGCTGTGAGGGATGAGCAAAGAAGCGACAAACATGAAAGGACGACTCAGAAAGAGATGGAGCACTATGTTGCGAGCTGCAAGGAGTTGGGGGCGAAAAAGCAACTCGAGCGACATCCTCCACTTCTCGGAAATCATCCTGTTAGTGTCATCCGAGGACACCCTGAGCGGGATTTGCGAAGGGTTCTTCAGATCGCGGCGACCGTGGGGAATGGCACGGAAGAGCAGAGGCGGCAGTTTGGAGAGAGACTGGATTTGTACCCGACGATTCATGAAGGTATTCAGAAAGAGATACTCAAACTGTCGCTGCAGCATAGGTTCTTGGATGTGACAGAGTGTGGTCATTTCATTCACCTGATGAAGCCGGAAATTGTTGTTGAAGAGGTGCGTTGGGTACTTCAACTCCAGAGAGGCTAGCTAAAAAGCAAACACAATCTATTCCATCATCAAAAGACATATCCATAGATATTGTCCGCCTTTTCTATTTGCAGAATGAGCCGGTTGGTAGATAAACGAAGAGAAAAGAATATAGAAAAATATCTGGAAAGCTTGGGGAAAGTGTAGTACGAGATAATCAAGTGAAACCAAAGTGAATGTATATACTGAGGGTACTTGATGTAGTGCTTGTTTCTATATTTCTACACTAGTATAGAGACCAGGCTCTTGGAGTTTTTATCACAAACCGGAGTATGATGTACCCATACAGCGACTCGCAACCTAAGCATGATCCAAACGTGGTGGGCTATGGCCAACGTCAATGTTGTAGACATAGATCGGCTTCTCAATCGTCGTGCTCTGGTTATTGGGCTGCAAAAATCGGTTGCTGCGGTTGAGCTGCGAGGCACAGAGCCACAATCGCTCCTTCGTGTCGAGCCAGATTGCATCAACCCAAAGCAATCTCTCATCCCGCACCAACAGGGTAGTTGTTCCATTTGGCGCCAGAATGCGGATCTCCTGGCGATCACCGTCACTGTAATAGATGTTACCTTGTGCATCAATGGCACTGCCTCCAGTACTCGGCGTCAACGAGAACGGCTCGACGTAGTTGGGAAGTAGTTCTGCAGTGGTATCATTTTTTAGCGCGTCGTTGAGATACTTGGTTTCGATGCGCCACATGTACCCGATAGCAGGTTGATAGTAGAAGTACTTGCCATCTGGCGACACTTCTTCCTGGTCGGCGTGGATGTATTCGAGCTCGCCTGTCGATTGAGTGCGCAAGAAATGACCTTCCGCTGATAGCGGCATCAAAGCCATGGTTGATTTGTGCTCTCGGAGGACCATGCGGGCATCGCCGGTCTCCAGGTCCAGCACGATAATGGACCCGATGGTGTACTCGGTCAGGTACGCGTACTTGCCGTTGAAGCGCACGTCGTTGATGGAACCGTCCTTGGTGGTGGCATCGCCAAGGTAGTATATGCGTTCGACCTCGTTGGTCGTAAGGTTGAAAAAGATCAGCTTGGAGGAGTTGGAGAAGTTTTGAAGATCACCGCTGTCTATAACCCAGAGATTTCCATCCGGTCCAACACGCTGCGCGTTTGTCGACACGTATTTTCGCTCGGAGTCGGCAGCGCTGTCGGTACTAGCATTCCATGAATTCCACTCCTCGTTTGGATATGGGATCAGGGTGTAGTCATCCCCGACAACTTCGACAACTTGTGAGCCCGTCGTATCGTCGACTCGAGCAAGTTTGAGAAAGGCTCGGCCATCAGGCGTAGTGCTGGCACCTGTAGTAGGTGTGTCAAGGATGACAGCAGTTTTCAATCGGTCATCGTGGTCTTTGGTCACATCGCAATGAGCGAGAAGTGAGAAAGAGAGACCCAAAAGCAGAGTGGACCACAACATTTTGGCAAATATTTGGGGGCTTGGCGTGTCAAGTTGAATTCTCAATTATGGTATGAAACGGAACGTAGGCCTTGGCTATTTAAGAAGCTTAAATTCCTCATAATTCGGACCTTTTCTGTCTTCAATCCTTTTTCAGTTGCAAATATCTCTTATTCCAGGAGGAGTAGTGTTCGGCGAGCTTGCTTCCTTCTTCATATCGCAATCCTCCCGACTTGGCGCATAAGAATGGATCTTCATCTGCCCTTACCAGTGTGAAATAAGCCCCGCAATAAGCAATGCCCTAGAGTTGTGCCAAGGCATTTTGTGTGGGACCTTGCGAGAACGGACAATCTTGTATAACTCGGGAGGACAACGAGATCCGACAAAATACTCTCGTACTCGTATATGCCGATGTCGGCCTCTTTGTTTGTGGGGATAGTATTGGCATCATCCGAGAAATTTTAATTTCTTTGAGATACGACAGGACTGGGGTACTATGAGAAGAACAGAGCTTGCCTACTGAACTTGACTTAGTCGATTTGCTGACAGCGTAGTTCGGGGCTCTAAACCATCCATTCAACGCCGAATAGAATGAAACAGGCTCAATAGAGTTAGTAAAAAAGGTTATTCGGTCTGATTTCTAAGATCCCTGTCCTAGATTGATCAGCAGGCCACGTCTAGAGCAAGATATCGTTCTCACATCTCGAACAATACCATTCTCTCCCCTCTTTTGACAGACTCGTTGTAAGGTCCATTTCTTCACTGTTAGATCCGCCCCACGTCATTCCGCCAGGATTTTCTTGGCATCTTCTTGGCGGCAAGCGTTTCCCAAATCCTTGTCCGGAGGAGGTAGGGATATTTATGCCTCCATGGGGGATGACAACCCCCTCAGGCCTATGATCGCTCAATATTTAGACACTCGGCCTGGCAAGTAATTTGAGGTAGGCCCAGTTATACTTAAGTACTTGAGTACCTATCAAATACAAATCCTTGGAAGACTTAGCCTTGCCATATTACTTGAGCAGAAGCGAATATATATCTTCTTCTCCTTGAAGCGAAGTAGGGACCAGAGGTAGTTTCTAAAGTTCTCGTCCAAGGTTTGAAATCCATAGAAGCATAACCCAAGCCCTAAATGTAGGACAATGGTTTTTTATAGCCTTCTAAAGCTACGATAAATTAGGACTTGTATCATGAATGCTAAGGACTAGTATCGTCAATGAAACTGATTTTTTAGCCTTCATCTATAGATTGATGGTGTTATTTCTTCTCAAACCCTCAACTGGTACATACGACCACAGGGTGTGGAGAACAGGGCTTCCCGTCCGCTCAGCCGTACTTAAGCCACACGCCGGTGAGTTAGTAGTTGGGTGGGTGACCACCAGCGAATCCTCACTGTTGTATGTTTTTTATTTTTGCGATTAACCCGACCGATACAAAAAGAAACCGGGCGTAGAACTCGATAAATTTCCAATAAGCCTTGGTCAGGCCAGGGGCGTATTGTGCCCTCGATAGAGTAGGCCGCATCAAATGTACTACGAGTACTTAAGTAGATTCGCACTGCATTTGCATGAAATCCCCCACAACAAAAATAATATTATCTTCCAGACACCGAGCCGAACTGGATTCTTTAGCACGCCGAAGTTGATATACGCTAAAGTTGAGTCCGGTACTTAAGTAACATACACATCCGCAAAAGGTGAGATTTCTCGCGCCGGGCCTCCCAGCCCACGTCCGACATCAAGGGCTCGCTGATCTTTCTTCAGACCAACAGATGAAACAAGGTAGTGTTCGTGCCTAGCATGACCTGGCTGACTGTCTCAGTTTGAACAGATCGAGCGAAATGGACGAAAGTGCCCCATAGGTCGAAAATATCGTTCATCAAATCATAATGCCTATTGAGAAAATTGCATTTTTCTAGATTGATCATTCAAATACATAGTATTCAAGGCATTGCGTACTCGTACCTACTCCGTACCCTTTGCTCAAAGCAACGTAGTTTTCTTGGCGATGAGAACGCGATTCGATATTGCCTTTGACATCCTATTGATCGGCATATTCTTGTGCTACGACTTGATCAGTAGCTCGGCGCTAATTGAAAAAGGACTGGAAGATTCTACGGAGTAAAGTTGAGAGTAATTTGGGGTAATGTGGTTGTTTGTGGCTGGAGTAAATGATCTGGATTATATGATGTTGAACACTTGTTATCTATCGTACTATGTACGAGTACATCTTTTTTGAGTTCGATAAATCACTTGTATGTAATGCAAGGGCCCACTTTTATCTGTGTCTGATCTTCAGATCGTAAGATATTCTGGTACCTATCATCTCGCTGCCCCAGCTGGTGTGCAGGTCGGGGCAGCGAAGTGTTCGTAACGGGCACAGTGTAGTATGCAGGTCACTCCCAATCTATCAAATTTACCACATGTACGAGTATTAGGTAGGCATTATCGCTTTGCTCGCCGTTTCTTCATTTTTGTATATTACCACTGGAGCAAACGTTACCCGTATTTAAGACTCTTCACATTACCTCTTTAATACACCCAGCTGTAAAACAATGCCGTAGGAACGAGTATCCATACCCGGAAATCCACATACGGATCCACCATGCCAAATTACATATTCCAACACTTTTTGTTTCTTACCGATGCATCATGTATATCTTAATCAGCCCGACATAACTAATTTATGGAGGGCTGTACTCCACATAACCCCTTACAGATCTCAATGTTGCCAAAAAAAATTTTATACCAACCGATACCTTTTCTAGAAAACAGACCAGATTATACTCCGTAAGCCCAAAGCCATAGTTAGGTAGTTACGACCTTCCAGCGCCTTGGGTAGTCTACCAGAAATAGACATTTCCCCTCTCATTTCCTTACTTGTTTTTCGTTCGTCTCGGTTTCGAGCGAATTGGTCTAGTCTTTGTCGAGCTTCGTCCTCTGTAGCTAAACTAAATACTTTTCGCTTCATCAGATGATGATGAGTTTTGATTTCTGTTTATTACCATCCTGGGGCGATGACTCCACAATTTTATGGATTGAATCAAGGAGGTTGGATTTCAAAGTTTAAAAACCTGATGAGTCCTAATAGACACATTGGGATTGTTAAATATGTTAAATAGTGTCCCCTGTCTGGTTGGCAATCGCTTAGTACGACGACCAGTCATATTTTAGGTGATCGACCTTTTCTATTAAATTTCCCCGTTGCACTTGAACTAGAGGTGACCAGCTACCTAAGTTCTATTCCCGCTTGCTTCACGTTTTGATTCATATATCATGGGTACATCGTCACAATCTGCCCGCAAATTCTCGGGCGACGGGGTTGAGAGTGAACAGTGTCAGCCGAGTAAACTGAGCTGGTTCAGAGACCAAGTGGTTTTTCTCACCGGTGGTACAGGGGGTCTTGGGGGGTGTCTAGTTTATAAGCTAGCTCTACAGCTCCCAACTAAGCGAATATTCGTTTTGTGTCGTACTTCCAAGGATAGGGCTATTGCACGATGGAAGGAAACGATGCCGACACATTTTGAATCCATTCTAGCTACGGGGAAGATCGTTTTCATAGTGGGAGATATGACACAACAAAACTACGGAATTTCGGATGACGATCTCGAGCGCTTATGGAAAGAAGCTACCATCATTCTCAATTGCGCTGCCAACAAATCTTTCACGACGAACGCCTATGAAGCCGTGACTGAAAACTGTCTTCCCGTGTTGAACTTAGCCAAAATGGCATCAAAATTCTCACGACTTGTGAAGTTCATTCACATATCTACCGCCTATGTGAACAGTTTTCTACCTGATGGTGTAGTACTTGAGCGCTCCTATGACCCACCTACAGGCCATCAATGCCCTGAAGAGGAGCTATCTCGTATTCTTTCAGAAGGCAGTACTCCGGCAACAGCCACATTTGCGTGGCCTTGTGCACAAGCTAAGCACCTAGCGGATGAGCTCCTCATCAACCGTCATCCTGGCTTGCCCATTATGATCATACGGCCCAGCTTCATGGGCCCGGCTATTCAACACCCTTATCCACTTTATGACCCCACTAGCACCAATCCATTCGGCGTGCTCACAGAAATGTATCTACTGGGCGGAGGTGGGGACCGGGTTTGGCATACTTTGCCTGGTCAGCCGAGTGCGACCAATATCTTCGATGAAGTTCCTATCGATTTGGTCGCAAACGTCATCTTGCTACACACAATGTTACAGACGAAAGGAATAGTTCATGCCTGCGCGCAACTTCACGTTCAATGCACAGGTGATGAATACATTGCTCGTGCGAAACGCCATGTTCCACACTTTTTGAGGAAGAAAAGGTCATGTTTCAAATTCAGCGAGGATTTGAGTATTCCACAGTGCCTATTTGCAGAACTATACCGCATTGGTACACGGGATTGGCGATTTGATTGCAGTCGATCAAAACACCTGAAACAAGTCCAAGGAGCGTTGACTTTGAACTTGAATGAACACGGCTTCGGGGAATATATCGAGAAGAGGATGAAGGAGATTATTGACCGCATCCCTTTGGCTCTGGAACCTGTAACTTCGAGACTTTAGCATCTCATAGTTTTCGATTACATCACACAGCAACGCATCCCATTTCATCTGTCGCATCGTTTGCAGTCGGAATTACTTATCGAGGTAAGATGAGTGTGCACTAAGTAGAAGGGGACACCAGAAATATGTCTTCCTCAGAGGAACCGCAATGATTGAGGATATTTCATGATACTTACTGGGGGTTGCTTTCAAAAACTCACGTTGCAAACTATGCTGAGCGTGCAGTCTCGCGGATTCGTTCCATCCGCCCTTTCTCGCCTCCCCAGTAGGCTCATCACTGATCTAAGTCCTCGCTATCGCTTCAGATTATTGTTCAATCACTCCAACGCAGTTCACTGGAGCCACTTAACGCGAAACTCAGTATAGTATGGTTCTCACTCCAGCCCATCCCATTTTCCATCTGTCTGTTGTGCACACAACCTAACTTTAGAATCACCCAAGTCGTGCAACGCTAAAGCGGCACTCACCCATTTTTTTTTATCAGGGCGGCCCCAATGGCATTCTTGTGTACTCCATAAGAACGTGCATGATTTCGTTCAGCAATTTGTTCGTGATTTTGCTATAGAACTCCTTCAGATGGTAATTGTAGCACATACGACCACAGGGTGTGGAAAACAGGGTTTCCCGTCCGCTCAGCCGTACTTAAGCCACACGCCGGTGAGTTAGTAGTTGGGTGGGTGACCACCAGCGAATCCTCACTGTTGTATGTTTTTTCGTTTTGTTTTTGTCTTAATCGATTTTTTTCATTCCAGAAATCTATTATTATTTTATTGTCTATCTATCGCTCGAAGAAATTCCATTTTGTTCAACGGAACGGAGAAGGGAGCATGATCAAGCAGAGGTTTGACGGTACATAGGATTTTAGAAAAACCAGGAGCCTTTACACAAAATTCGTATTCAGAACAAGTTTGGAGGATATTCCAAGAGAGGAAATGCCTTGACCTATTCGTTAACATTATATATCGGAGCCCACAACAGGTGCTCGTCATCGTCTGGGTTATCCACATCTTCAGAATTGGGAATCATTTCCTCAATCCCTGTGATCTCCTTGATCCCCAATGAGCCAGACACGAAGGAGGCGAGTAGGGCATCAATATGTGTGTCCCACTGTTTGCACTTCCCTTTCTCGTACCCCCGAATGCACAGATATTCCAGACTCTCGGGGAGAACCTCCGGCAGCAGAAATGGTTGTCTTGGCTCGTTATTTTCCCTAACACCCATGGCAAAATATACCAAAAACCCTATGCCCACACTCAGTCGCTTCAAGGCCCGGAACTCCTTCAATGACCCATTGATACTCGAGATGGGCGGGGGCATTTGGACTTCATCGTCTTCATAATCAGGAAATCGGGACTCCTCTTTGTCAATTTCCTCGTCAACACGACCCTCGTCAAAACAAGAGTGATGGAAATAGTTCATGTTATGCTCAGCGTCGATATTTAGAACTTCCAGCGTGTCTTTATGCAGGCAAATTGATCGGATGAAATCCCTGGCAAGGAACGGCGCAGACCAACCTCCCAAAACGCACCGGCCACCCATGGTGTATTGGAATTCTCGTAGTGTCTTGCATGACTCAATGAGAGTGACAAAAAATGGTGACGGGAGGGCAGAGTGGCAGATGCGGATTCTGCTGATATTGGACGATCTGGGCTCTAGCGCTGAGCGTATCTCTTGATTTTCGTCGTCAATGATGGCATCGGTGCTAATGGATTCAATAGACGGGAGGCGATCGAAGAGCGATGCGCATTCCAACAAGTCCAACGGCATGTAGTAATGGTCGTCCGAGTGCCTATCGTCAACCATCATGTACACATTGCGAAGATTTTGAAGATATGCTGTTTTTTCCGGGTTTCCATTGGCCCGACGGAGAAGTTGGTCGAGTGGGAAATGAACAACATCTTCTTGGGCCCTCTCGCCTTCCTTGTAGAATCCAGAGAATGTATCAAAAGGCTGTGTCATCACGAGGGACTCCAGATTAGGTGACACCGAGATGAGAATCGCGGCCAGTGCCTGCGCAATGAAAATTCCATGAATATTGCCATCATTACAGTCACCACTATTCGTCTAGTGAGCACTTGGTTCAGCACGTAATTCGGAAATGACCTTCTTACCCGTACCCATAAGCAGATATTGGAAACTTGAAACGGTCCAATTTTTCACTTGGAGCCTCCGTAGTATTTTGCATGAGCATGTTGAGCACCGCACTTTCTTGGGAGCCAGCGAAACCCGCTTTCAGGACAGCCGCGCTGAGGAGGTCCTTGTCGTCCGCACTGAGCTCGCGGAGCTTTGCCGTCTGGATGTAGTGGTGTTCCATGCTGGGCTGTCTAGTCTGCACAATCTCCCGGACATGCTTTCCCAGATTCGGGTTTCTGAGTATCTCCATCAAGAGGTCAAAAGCCTTGTTTATGCTGGAGTCTTTCGGGTTGACGCGGATCTGGTAGCACCGCTCCCGTGTTGCCATGTCGCAGAGACGACGTGTTGGCCCACACGACTGCGATAGAGCAGCCAGATTTCTTGGCGATGATATACGCGGAATGAACATAACGTGTATCTCAAAGGGGACAGGAATACCGCATTGGAGATGTAGGACAATTTCGCGCCGATCGGGGTCCATTTTATTTTGGGTCGCGTCCCAAATGCACTAGTACTAGTTTAGACATCGAGACATCTGCCTGCTTGTCAAAGGCTCCCTTTGCGTCACAGTTTGTTTTAGTTTTAGTTTTAGTTTTTTTTTTTTTTTTTTTTTTTTTTTTTTAATTTAAATTTTTTGCTACAGAATTACATAATCTCGAAACCTTGTCTAGCGGTTTAGTCTCTTTTTAATTTTAAACCGCGGAGATGCA